ATGTGATGGATTCAAACATGATTTAGTAAAAGGAGCAAAAACCTCAAATCTGGGTCATACTGTAATGGTTACTGGTTTCTCTCTGATAGTTTAGTAGTAATAATCTTCTGAGCAGAGCTTATCTCTGTAGCTCATGAAATGAGGAGTAAATATTTTCCCCTGACGCACCGAGAACAGATGTCTTATAATAAACCTCCCAATAATCCATAACATAGTTGCTTGGCCTCACTTGACTGCGAGGCGATAAGAGTATAAACACGGCAGCATGATGTCGGCGAGGGGAATTTGCAGTGTGGACACCTAGAGGGCAGATTTGTTGTTCTGTTTATTATTGCAAAAAAAACTAGAGTAATAACTCTCCAGAATGGCTTTGCTCCAGGATTTAAAGTAGTCTACCAACTGGAAACAATAACACCCTACAGGGGGCGCTGTAACCTTCATGGAGGCATTTCTTACTCTATTTGTAGTTGCATTTTTAATCCAAGTTTATTTTGAATTGTAAATACATGATGGCCGGTTCTTCATTTTAAAACTCTTATTTTGTAATAAGACAGGAAATAGATCCTAAGGTTAGAAGCCAAAAAAAAAAAAAAAACATGCAGTCACTTTCACATATTAAAAAGAAAAAACCTCCACTGCATTTCAAAGGAGTCATAACCTTGCATTTTAATTAGTCATTTTTAGAAGTAATGCCTTTTAAAGGCACATAATCATATTATATTCCTAAAAATGAGATTTGAAAATCATGCTGATGTTGATACAATATGGCTTTATAATCCAAGCATCCATCCTGACAGCGTTTTGATAGTCATTTTGAGCCTAAATAGAACCCAGGCTGAAGGCTCGATGAACTGACATAAACAGATGTGGCGCCATCTGCTGGTAGTACCACAAAACTCCCATAAGCCCAGATCATCGTCATTAATGCAGCTACTAAATAAGTCCTGACCACGTAGACTGTGCTGTAAAGCCTTGTTGGAAGCCAACAGCTCTGCCTGGTCAAAGACCAAACCAACCTACTTCTATTTGAAGTTCCAGAATCTATCAAAAGAGGAGTGAAGGGAAGTAAAGTCGGTCATTTGTCGAGGAATTTTTACTTTATAATTTACTAGCATGATTGATACACACAGGATAAACACCAAGTCATAAGATGTGGTCCCTAGGTAATATTAATCAGAATAGGACTAATAGTGCTAACGCCACCATCCTGCAGTTTAGCTTCAGTTTTAAGTTTGCTCCAACAGTCAGACTGTGTTCCTCACACAAATAAAGGTTTATCTCACTTGGTCTAAAACCTTTTTTAGAAAATTTTACTCTTGATCTTGGACTTTTATTATTTATAGTTCCACAATGACTAGCTTCTAATGCTTCTGGTTGTTGACCAATTGTAAGTATGAGCGGTGATGTAATCCCAGTCACATGTTGTTGTTCAGTTCAATTTATTTAAAATACTACCTTATATTCCCGGGGGGAAATTAATTTTTGCAGTAACTCCTATTTTTTGGGGGTTTTTTGTAACGAGTTGTCTTAGGTGTCGATAGCCGTATTTAGGAAGGTTCACCTGTAGAGGTCTGTGTTGCAACGGGTCTGAGGATGCCTCTTACTGAAGACACACTGTTGTTATGGTAAATATACACAAAGTCTATATTTATTTTAAAGATAGCAATTTGTTATTTGTTAATAATGTTATTGCCATTTTTTATTTCCATACTTTAAAATATCGGAATTTTCCCATAACTGTATGATTACATGATTTAAATATAACTTAAATAAACATTATGTCAGCTGTTTTGAGCCAACAATTACTCAGTACTTGTATAGTCATTTTATCTAGTACATTTTTTTTCTTACTTGAGTAATTTCATGGGTGACTACATTCTACTTTTACTTGACTAAAATGAAATAAAGGCAATGAGCAGGTTTTTCCATATATTTAAGAGCTAAATTTACTTTTCCATAATATGCAGAATAAAAGAAAATAAGTAGCACATTGTTTTACTTCCAGCAAGAAAACCTGTCAGAGGTTTTAGACTGTGTAAGAAAAAACTTTAAAAAAAAAAACAAAACTCAGCAACAAAATACTGACCAAGAGGTTAAAACTATGAAAGGATGAGTGACTTTTAGTTGTAAAAAATATCATATTTAATTTTCCTTCTCAGTTACGTTCTACTTGTGTAGATTTATCACATAGGATCCAAATGAATTTTAAAAAGTGTGTGACTTTTCTACTTTTTGAAAGACAACCTTCCTGAAGAGACACGCAGCTTTTAGTTTGCCTGCTGATGCAGAAATGATCTTTTAGTCCTTCATCCTGCTGCTTTTAAATCTAATAAAACATTAAAAGGCTTCTGTCACACCATCTATATTTCTAAAACACCCAGAGTGGATTTTCTTCTCTGCTCTCTCTCATGCCAGCATCTTTCCATGCTGCTTAATCTCTTCGTTGTTATAAAAGAAGCCTCGTTTTTTGCGTTCTTATCTGATCATTTCATCAGCGCTATCAGCCCCCTCTTCCTTTCTGCTGGGTTTGACACTACCAAGCATCCATTCATTGCTCTGTCCTCTGACATGCATTCATCCATACAACCACAAACCCAACATCAACTTGGAAGACAGCAGGGATAAAAAAGACGTGAAGTCCAGGGAGTTTTTCGACATCAGGAGCTGAATGACTGGCCTTTACGTCCAGAAACAGCTGCTGTTCACAGCAATGCACACTATAGACACAGAAACCCTTCTTGGGACATTTGCTACCAATTTCACGCCCGCTAACCGTTGAAGGCGTAAAGCCTCTCGTCATTTTTTCGCCGTGACGTATCACAGTAGTCCAACACAAAGATGGTATTCTTGCATGGCAGTGCTTTGCCACTTTATGTAACTGCAGGTCGACCATAGCTGTCTGTGGGAGCCATCATCCGTGACCTTTCCATCTACTGTGCTTTATTTTAACTTTATAAAAGACATTCTTGCCACTGGCATCCAAAGAAATCAATGGTAGGCTGTCTCTAGATTGTAACACGCTATGTCTGGAATTTAAAAATGACTGCTCTTGGCATTAAGGTGTTTTCAACCTACAACAATATAATAAAGACAACAATAATATAAATATGAACATCTTGAGGATGATCAAACCACATCTTGGACAAGTCTTCAACTTGTATGTTAGATCCAGTTCCAACCAGGTTATTTTAGATGTGATTAATCTATCTCTGTTACAGGGATATGTACCAAAGGCTTTTAAGGTTGCTGTAATTAAACCTCTGCTTAAGAAACAGTCTCTTGACCCAGATGACTTGGTCAATTATAGACCTATATCCAATCTTCCCTTCTTATCTAAAATTCTTGAAGAAGTAGTTGCCAAACAAGTATGTGATCACTTGCACCATAATGAACTTTTTGAAGAGTTTCAGTCTGGCTTTAGAGCTCATCATAGCACTGAAACAGCTCTGGTTAAAGTCACTAATGATATTCTTATGGCCTCAGATAATGGACTAGTATCTGATCAATTTCAGTTTGTTCATGTTAATGACCAATCTTCCTTATGCTCAAGGTTTACCTGTGGAGTACCACAGGGATCAGTGTTAAGACCAATTATTTTTACTATATATTTGCTCCCAAACGGTACAATTATTAGCCCTAATATTTCATGTTAAGTTTTAAACATAAATAAGCAAATTTTTTGTTGAAATGCTAAATCATATTTAGACTCTACAAGCATTAGCTTAAGTCAGGCTTCAACGAGGCAATGTAATTTAACAGATAATTTAGGTGAGTCTTTAAAGTGTCCAAAACTAAAGTTTAAAAACTCTAATCTTTTAAGAAAGCTGACAAAAAAACAGCTATAGTGTACAAGACAACGCATATTCCAATAGCAAAACACAGCAAGGTCTGGATACAACTTTGTAAATTTCTGAAACAATGCTATATGGAGTGAATTTTGTCACATTTTTGTTGAAGTAAAGAATGCATTTGGTAAATGGAAAAAAAACACTTGACACTTGAAAGAAAACATTGAAATGTTTAAATAAAAAAATAGGTCTTCAGCTTAAATTAGCAGTTTTCTCAGATTTAATTATTTATTATACTATAAAATTATTATAATTTTTTTTATTGATTTATTGTTTGACAGACCCAACACCTTATTTTTTTTTTTCTTCATATTTATGTTTTTCAGATTGAGTTTTACAACTTGCATTTTCTTCATTGCATTTCACAGATCACACTCTCTGCATATAAAACCCAAATTAAATTATAAATTAAATGTGTCTTCGCTCCTCATTCCAGACGAAAGCCGCCACAGAAGTAAACAGAATGTGATCTGGGAAACACAGTTTGAGGAGAAATCAATTTGTAAAATTTTATCTGAAAAAAAAAGCTTTAAAAAACAGCAAAGTTTTTCTCAAACCTTTTTTTTTTTACTATTAAATCTTTTCATTTCTGGATTGCAAATTTTTTTTTTCAAACTTCAATTTAGAAAACTTTGTTCTTTCCTTGCAACAAAAACGGAACAAAATTCACTCCATAATACAGCAGCTTTTAATGTAGACCAATGCTGATATAAACCTGATGTGATCAGAAATGATATATTTATTATATATTTGGGTGGTTTGGAATGATAGGAAACGCTTGATAAAGTGATTTTACTCACAGATCAATAGTTAACAACATATATGAGAAAAACTGACCATTAATAACAATCAGGTTACAAACAGGGCTGGAGTCCCTGAAGTTGAAGTCTCTTTCCATCTGAGCAGCTTATTACTGCCACCTATAGGTCTGGAGTGAGAAGGTCAGTGTCTTAATCTCTTTAAATATAATCTGATCAAAACTGAGTGCCTCTGCAATTTGAAGACTGTGTTCTGTTAAATTCTGGTTCTATTCAAAATTCAATTAATTATCCATTAGTCATTTTCAGAAGAAATACATGTTAAAGGTTAATATTCAGGTTATTTGCCTTTAACTAAAAGATAAAAATAATGGTTCACGGGTGCGGTTCCTACCGGCAGACAGTAACGTCTCCATGATCAGAGCTATGTGGCGCTGTCCCAGGTCTAAAATTGGAAACGTTGAAAAAGGAGAGCGTGTGGTCGATGAATCCGTGCATGGTGCCTGACGGGCTGTACATGTACTGGTAGACGAGCCGAGGAATGAAGTCGGATGTGAAGGAGATCACAAAGGCCTACAGAAAAAAAGAAAAAACACACGACAGAATGAGACCAGAACAGGATTCTGACAATTCCAACAATGTGGATAAAGCCACCGACAGCTAAGTATAATAAATTGTACAAATCCTCATGGAACATGTCCCATATAACAGTCAGAAGCATATGTCTTGGTTATGTTTTATTTGTCATATTGCTCAAAAATGTGGTAAATGCCAAAAAAGCAAGTATCGACAAATTAGTTTAATTTCCTTAACAAAAATGCTATTAGGCTAAATAATAAAGTGGGATATCATTAAACAACTAATAATTTTTTTGTTGAGAAAGTTTTCAAAAACACTTCAAAAATATAAACACTGTGTCTGTAGTAATATTAGAAATAAGGTACAAAACACTGAATAAAAGTTTTCCTCCAGGAGTTCAGAATTCTTTTACAGGAATCCGTGATTAGTCGTAACAAACATCTTTAGCTGAGGAAAGATTTATTTTTTTCATGTAAATGTAACACAGCAACAATGCTGTAAGCTGTTTAGTTTGAATAAATTTCAATAAAATGTTGTCAAACAGTTGTCGCATTGCATGTATTCAGGGTAAATGGCGCATTCTAGCTCCTGTAGTAAATGGCCGACTTCATCTTATATCAGAGATCTGATTGTTCCTTATGTTCCTAACAGAGCACTTCGCTCTCAATCTGCAGGTTTACTAGTGGTTCCTACAATTTCTAAACGTAGAATGGGAGGCAGATCTTTTAGTTATCAGGCTCCTCTCCTGTGGAACCAACTACCAGTTTTAGTCCGTGAGGCAGACACCCTGTCTACTTTAAGGCTAGGCTTAAAACTTTCCTTTTTGATAAAGCTTATAGTTAGAGTGGCTTAGGTTATCCTGAGCTATCTCTATAATTATGCTGCTATAGACTTCGACTGTTGGAGGACATAGGGACCCCTTTTTCATTATTCTGCTTCATTCTATCTCCATTCTCCCACTGCAGAATTTCTTAGTTCAGTTTCTAACGTTATGCTCTCTCTGCTTTTTCTCATAGTAGCCTCATCTCTTCCTGTTTGGCTGTGACACCATATTGGAGAAAAATATCAGCTGTGCTGGTGCCATCAACACCTTTGTTTATAGATGTTGGAGCTTGGCCTGTTTTTCAGTGTAGTCCTGTTTCTCTGACTGTGACTGACTGGATGTAATGTCTTCATTTTCTGACATAGAAACTGGCTCGGAGCTTGTCTGCTTGGCTGTGTGTTTCCTGGACGGGGCCGTCTGTGGACCTAGCTTATAGTTGACTTTTGTATCTCTGCCTCTGTCTCCTTGAACCCCAGTCGGCCTCAGCAGATGGTCGCTCACACTGAGCCTGGTTCTGCTGGAGGTTACTTCCTGTTAAAAGGGATTTTTCCCATTCATTCCAATGAGTCAAAGCAATCAACTCGTTTTCCTTAGATAGAAAAATTTTGAATCTATTGCTGAGTTCGAATTCATTGGATGCATCCTCCGAAGGCCAGATTCATAGTCCGATTACGTCATAGCACAGTGCAGAGGTCTGTTCGTTATGCGCTGGACAAATGCATCCTTGTTTTTGCCCGTTTTGGTGTATCCTACGTAGCCTTGTATATCCCATGATTCATTGCGAGTCCAAGCAAGTAGACTGCTCCCTGATCAGAGGAAAAAGGTATTTGGCTGTGTTTGGCTGATATTTAAGGACAGATTCAAATATATCTGCAGTGTTGGGGAAGAATGACCGTATAAGATGGAGCTGTTGAAGATCTTCAAAAATGTTATTAACACCAAAACAGCAGTGAGAGGTTTGCTATTCATTCTTTTCCTGTTTGGTGTGTCAATTGTCATGGTTGTTAGGCGACAGAGCGTACACCGGTAAAAGCAGCAGAAGGCTGGACCTGTTTGAGTCCACTGCCAAAACTCTTTTTACTCTGTAGGTTCCAGTCCAGTAGGACCTAACCACGTCATTAACCCAGCATATATTACACAGGTGTCCTCCATGGGTGAAACAATCTGTGTGTATGTTTGTATTCCTACAGACAGCTGAGTCTGAGGAAAAGATAGGCATGTAAAAGCCTTAGCTTCATTCCTTTTTTGGTAAATAACTGGTTTGCTTAATAGCGTTTCATTTCCTAAGGTTTTTTAAGCTGTAAATTAAAAAAATATAACTAAATATAACTTATCTACGTTTTCTTGTTTGAACTGGATTGTTTCAATATGAAGCCCTTTTAATGTCTTGACGATGGTCGTGACGGATTGCCTCTGCTTTCTTCTTTTGGCGCCAAAACAGTCCGGTGTAACAGAACTTAATGAAGATCTATGAAGGCGAAATGATTCCTCCATGTTGGGAAGGTCGTCTGGATCCAATCATTTCAAGATAATTAGTTCATTCAATTGTATGATGACAAGCTGACAGCGCTAAACTGAAAAATCCCAGGTTCTTTGTAGATGAAGTTTACTTGCTCTCCCTGTGGATACATTGGCTGTTTTTCATGTCCAATCTTCTCTTCCATCTCTCCATAGAACATAACTTCATTTCCTTTGTTTTTAAACTTGTCAGAAATCTCTTGAGTATTAAAAGTAAACAGAGGGATTTGATTGGCTGCCTTCCTGAAGACGGATCAAAAAGGAAACTTTTCTGAATCCACTGATCCCTATCTGACAAATTTGCATTTCTGAACGGTTTTGTCAGAGCACATCTTAAATGACCAAAACAAGACAAAGGGGGTTTTAACTTCAGGGAACCATGTGGTGATAAGACAGAGCTCCACTTTAAGGTAGAAAAGGTGACTTTAAAACCAGGTAGGGCATCTTTGTCTTTTGTTATCCTTGAAGCTAAATAATTCAAAATTATCTTTTAATTACTTTAAACTTTCAGCATTAGCCACTCTTAGCTTAACTTGGTCAACCACATGATTAAAGGTTTCAACTTCATTTTAAAATCCCAAATAGACAAATGGAAGGCTAGTGGATTCTGCTTTTTGAAAATGCATGAAAAATGCATCTTAATTTCAACATCTATATTTATCAGAAAGGAAAAGAGCTTTTTAGATGAAGTGTCAACACCATGAGGTGCATGAGCAATAATCTATACATGGATCCATGTTTGAAAACAGCAAAAAGTATGGAGAGAATTATGACCCATTTTACTGGCAAGCAAGAAAGACATTTTTAAATAAAAAAAATTAAAACAATCCAATCCAAAATGAAAGATTTTAAGAATAACTTTGCTGTTTTTCTTTTATTTATTTTTTTGTAATATTATCTTTTTCGTTTTATTTAATTTAATTAAATTTATTGTTTTTTTTTTTGTTTACAGATTTTGAATTTTCAAATAACAACTTGGCTTAAAAATATATAATCTATACAAATTTTTTTTGAAAAAGTAAGATTAGAAAACTACAATGTGAAACAATTTGAAAAAAGAAAAATATCTGAGAAAAGTTTTGCGAAAAACCCAAAAGAAATCTTACACAAAACATTTTAATAGAAGTTTTTAGTTCTGGATCACATTTTCTTTTACAAAACTTGTTCTTTACTTACAACAATAATGGAACAAAATTCACTCTATAACCTCCCAAATTCTTCTTATTCAATCAATTTGAACTGAACATAGAGATCAGATGCCCTGAAATTCTAGCAAACGAATGTGAGCTGAATGCTAACAACATGAAGCAGATGATAGGAAGGAGATTTTCTGAAGCCAAAAGGTCTTCAACATATTTTAACAGCTGCATCGTGTTCATACTTACATTTATTATGACGGACAGTTTGCCCATTCCACTCAAAATGTTGTACCATATGCCTATAAGAGAGAGAAAAGCAGTCAAAGACCATCATCGGTGTCATTTAGGCTCCTTTTAATCAGGTCAAATTATTATCTTGATTTCTCTGCCTGCAGGCAGACTGTGTGTCCTCAAGTTGGAAAGAAATATCCCACATTTTGGGCTTAAGTGGGATTGTGTGAAGTATTAATGAGAAGTAAGTAGGTCAGCTGGTCTCGCAGGGGTTTTAATGGACAAGCTGAGGTTTTGTCACAGTTGTGGAATTGGGGCAAAGCCAAAATGATTATGCAAAAATTCAGAATTTTTTTAAGATTTACTTCGCTGAAACATTTGAGGCGTGAAAGAGCTTCTGTTTGAAGAATGACCATACACTGAATTAAATATAGGACTAGACTTGGACTTTAACTGTGATATTCTGACATATATACACAATTTTACCTCAATTATACCATCATAGCTTTGGTTGTATGTTTGTTATCCTTGTCCTGCTGGATGGCGAACCTCTGACCCAGACTTAATGTTTGGGTCTTCTAACAGGTTCTCTTCCAAAGTTATCCCATATTTAGCTCCATCCACCAGCGTTATCCACCCTTTCTCTTTTTATCTGGTCGTAGGATGTTCCAGGTTTGATTTATAAGGAGAAAACTTAACCTGTCATGTGTGTTTTTAGTTTAGTTTTTTTTTTTGTTCTTCTCAGTCAGATGTGATCATTTTTCACCAACCTAAAGCTGCGGCTAAAGCATTAGGGAGTGAATTAAATTTTTTTTTTTTATGACAATAAAGAAATGCAATCCAGAAATTAGTATTCTTAATTAAGAACGTTTTTTTACAATTTTTAAAATATTTTATTATATATATCATTTTTTTTTTCAAATTTTACAGTTTAAAATTGTCTCTTTTTTTTTCTTTAAAGTTTTTACAAGTTGCATTATTTTCAAATTGTGTTTCAGCGATCACATTTTCTTTACTTCATGCCCAGTACAAACCCTCGCACTTAAACAATACATGTTGTTGCTAATGTCTAGCAGACCAATAGAAATGCGTCTTTGTGTCTCACTTAAGATAAAAACCGCCCACAGAGGTGAAGAGAAAGCAATATTGAAAATGGAATTTGAAAAAAATGTAATTAGTAAAATTCAATCTGATATTTCGAAAAAATATATACCGGTATATATGAAATTTGAAAATAAAGTATGAAAAATAAATTTGAAAAAATATCTGAGACATTATCATTTTTTTTTTTTTTTTTTAGGAAAACATTTTACAAAGTTCCATATCTGGATGGCATGATTTTCAAATTCACAATTCCAAAATGTGTTTCATTACTTGCAACAATAGTGGGACAAGAATCATTCCATCCATTTTGCCCCTTCAAATTGTTCCTCATGAGTTGTATGGACCTAAGCAGTGAAAAACAGGCTGCTGAGTTTTGCTGGAAAAAAAAAAAAGATTGACAATCTTTTTTTTCATGAGATTTCGGAGATTGACATCTAATTGTATTTCTTTACTTTGTGTGGAACAGAATTTTATTTTTATTTGCTCAGACTGAAACAAAACGCTTACTGCTTTACCCATTAAATGAAAAAAAAAAAATCAACAGGAAAAGTTAGCATACCTAACCAAGACAGTATTTTTATTGCAATAATCATTTCTAGCCATCTTCTACAGAAGAGGATTAGGGCCACTGAAAAAAAAGTTAACCGATTTTTAAATTTGACTTCAGTTTAATATGGGAATTTTGACTTTAATCTCAGAATTCTGACTTAATCTCAAAATTATGACTTTAATCTCAGAATTCTGACTTTTTTCCTCAGAATTTCGACTTTAATCTCAGAAATCTGACTTTAATCTTAGAATTCTGACTTTTTTCCTCAGAATTCTGACTTTTTTCCTCAGAATTCTGATTTTTTTCCCTCAGAATTCTGACTTTAATCTCAGAATTTTGACTTTAATCTTAGAATTCTGACTTTTTTCCTCAGAATTCTGAATTTAATCTCAGAATTCTGACTTAATCTCAAAATTATGACTTTAATCTCAGAATTCTGACTTTATTCCTCAGAATTTTGACTTTAATCTCAGAAATCTGACTTTAATCCGAGAATTCTGACTTTTTTTCCTCAGAATTCTGACTTTAATCTCAGAATTCTGACTTAATCTCAAAATTATGACTTTAATCTCAGAATTCTGACTTTTTTCCTCAGAATTTTGACTTTAATCTCAGAAATCTGACTTTAATCTTAGAATTCTGACTTTTTTCCCTCAGAATTCTGACTTTATTCTCAGAATTTGACTTTAATCTTAGAATTCTGACTTTTTTCCTCAGAATTCTGACTTTAATCTTAGAATTCTGATTTTTTTTCCCTCAGAATTCTGACTTTAATCTCAGAATTTTGACTTTAATCTTAGAATTCTGACTTTTTTCCTCAGAATTCTGACTTTAATCTTAGAATTCTGATTTTTTCCCTCAGAATTCTGACTTTAATCTCAGAATTTTGACTTTAATCTTAGAATTCTGACTTTTTTCCTCAGAATTCTGACTTTAATCAAAGAATTCTGACTTAATCTCAAAATTATGACTTTAATCTCAGAATTCTGACTTTTTTCCTCAGAATTTTGACTTTAATCTCAGAAATCTGACTTTAATCTGAGAATTCTGACTTTTTTTCCTCAGAATTCTGACTTTAATCTCAGAATTCTGACTTAATCTCAAAATTATGACTTTTTTCCTCAGAATTCTGACTTTAATCTTAGAATTCTGATTTTTTTTCCCTCAGAATTCTGACTTTAATCTCAGAATTTTGACTTTAATCTTAGAATTCTGACTTTTTTCCTCAGAATTCTGACTTTAATCTTAGAATTCTGATTTTTTCCCTCAGAATTCTGACTTTAATCTCAGAATTTTGACTTTAATCTTAGAATTCTGACTTTTTTCCTCAGAATTCTGACTTTAATCAAAGAATTCTGACTTAATCTCAAAATTATGACTTTAATCTCAGAATTCTGACTTTTTTCCTCAGAATTTTGACTTTAATCTCAGAAATCTGACTTTAATCTGAGAATTCTGACTTTTTTTCCTCAGAATTCTGACTTTAATCTCAGAATTCTGACTTAATCTCAAAATTATGACTTTTTTCCTCAGAATTCTGACTTTAATCTTAGAATTCTGATTTTTTTTCCCTCAGAATTCTGACTTTAATCTCAGAATTTTGACTTTAATCTTAGAATTCTGACTTTTTTCCTCAGAATTCTGACTTTAATCTTAGAATTCTGATTTTTTCCCTCAGAATTCTGACTTTAATCTCAGAATTTTGACTTTAATCTTAGAATTCTGACTTTTTTCCTCAGAATTCTGACTTTAATCAAAGAATTCTGACTTAATCTCAAAATTATGACTTTAATCTCAGAATTCTGACTTTTTTCCTCAGAATTTTGACTTTAATCTCAGAAATCTGACTTTAATCTGAGAATTCTGACTTTTTTTCCTCAGAATTCTGACTTTAATCTCAGAATTTTGACTTTAATCTTAGAATTCTGACTTTTTTCCTCAGAATTCTGACTTTAATCTTAGAATTCTGATTTTTTCCCTCAGAATTCTGACTTTAATCTCAGAATTTTGACTTTAATCTTAGAATTCTGACTTTTTTCCTCAGAATTCTGACTTTAATCAAAGAATTCTGACTTAATCTCAAAATTATGACTTTAATCTCAGAATTCTGACTTTTTTCCTCAGAATTTTGACTTTAATCTCAGAAATCTGACTTTAATCTGAGAATTCTGACTTTTTTTCCTCAGAATTCTGACTTTAATCTCAGAATTCTGACTTAATCTCAAAATTATGACTTTTTTCCTCAGAATTCTGACTTTAATCTTAGAATTCTGATTTTTTTTCCCTCAGAATTCTGACTTTAATCTCAGAATTTTGACTTTAATCTTAGAATTCTGACTTTTTTCCTCAGAATTCTGACTTTAATCTTAGAATTCTGATTTTTTCCCTCAGAATTCTGACTTTAATCTCAGAATTTTGACTTTAATCTTAGAATTCTGACTTTTTTCCTCAGAATTCTGACTTTAATCAAAGAATTCTGACTTAATCTCAAAATTATGACTTTAATCTCAGAATTCTGACTTTTTTCCTCAGAATTTTGACTTTAATCTCAGAAATCTGACTTTAATCTGAGAATTCTGACTTTTTTTCCTCAGAATTCTGACTTTAATCTCAGAATTCTGACTTAATCTCAAAATTATGACTTTTTTCCTCAGAATTCTGACTTTAATCTTAGAATTCTGATTTTTTTTCCCTCAGAATTCTGACTTTAATCTCAGAATTTTGACTTTAATCTTAGAATTCTGACTTTTTTCCTCAGAATTCTGACTTTAATCTTAGAATTCTGATTTTTTCCCTCAGAATTCTGACTTTAATCTCAGAATTTTGACTTTAATCTTAGAATTCTGACTTTTTTCCTCAGAATTCTGACTTTAATCAAAGAATTCTGACTTAATCTCAAAATTATGACTTTAATCTCAGAATTCTGACTTTTTTCCTCAGAATTTTGACTTTAATCTCAGAAATCTGACTTTAATCTGAGAATTCTGACTTTTTTTCCTCAGAATTCTGACTTTAATCTCAGAATTCTGACTTAATCTCAAAATTATGACTTTAATCTCAGAATTCTGACTTTTTTCCTCAGAATTTTGACTTTAATCTCAGAAATCTGACTTTAATCTGAGAATTCTGACTTTTTTTCCTCAGAATTTTGACTTTAATCTCAGAAATCTGACTTTAATCTGAGAATTCTGACTTTTTTTCCTCAGAATTCTGACTTTAATCTCAGAATTCTGACTTAATCTCAAAATTATGACTTTAATCTCAGAATTCTGACTTTTTTCCTCAGAATTCTGACTTTAATCTCAGAATTTTGACTTTAATCTTAGAATTCTGACTTTTTTTCTCAGAATTCTGACTTTAATCTTATAATTCTGACTTTAATCTCAGAATTCTGACTTTAATCTCAGAATTCTGACTTTTTTTCCTCAGAATTCTGACTTAAACCTCAGAATTTTGACTTTGATCTCAGAATTTTGGATCCTAATGTAGATGGGCACCATGAAGGAAGAGATGTGGGAGCACTCAGCTTCACTGATGAAGATGTGAGTTGTTTGAGAGGGCCCGCAACACATTGGTGGAAAATGACGGAATTAGGCGACTTTTTACATGCCTGAGAGGTCCCCAGTGATGCTATTTCATTAATGGAGGAGCAGAAGGTGATTAAAACAAGAAACCTAGTTTAGTCTCTAAACCAGACGTGACTACAGTAAGTCTTGATGCTAAAATGTTTGTCAGAATTCTGAGATTAAAGTCTCAGACGTCTCTGAGATAAATCTCCCCCCTACTCACTAGTGGCATAGAGCCTATTTTAACATCTGGACTTAGCTGTCGACTTTCATCATTCTTTGATGGATTTATTGTTCAATGTCATCGTTGTGTTGCGATGTCCAGTTTTTCCATGAGCACAGATACATTTAGTTTTTTTTTTATCAATAATCTGCACACATTTCAATTTTGGACTTGTCTGTCCAAAGACGATCATTGGAGACATCCTTATGATGCTGCCCTTCTTTTCTATTTGTTTTTTTGTTTTAAATGCTTCATCCCTACAGAGCTACAATAAATTACATTTTACAGTTTGTGGAGACATCTTGATTTCTGTTTTGAGCATGAACCTGTTTGGACTAGCAGAGGTGGGCATATAGGAGTTTATTTTAAATCATTGGATTAAATCATCCAGGTTTAATTAGCTCACCGATGTCTTTAGCACGCGCGGCGACTGGCCTGCGCAGCTCTGTGACAAACTTCTTGGCGTCCAGCCGGATCTCTATGACGTTGTTCAACAGGGCGAAGAGAGGAGCCAGTGGGAAAGACGCCACGAAGAGAGAGACGAAACCGAACTGGATTACTGTGGAGACATACATAAAAAAAACATGATTTTTGACTTCTAAAACCAACAGTCCATCAATGCTTTTCTTATTTTTTTAGCAAAGGAAAATAATGAAGGGTTGCAACTACTTTTTCATATAACTGCTCTACATTACACAAAGAGAAGAGGGTCAGAGTCAAAGTGCAGCCCTGTCCCTAAAAATGGCTGAGTACTGCTGATCAGAAGGCTGAAAGAGCTTTTCTCCCAGTTGCGCAGAGGATCAATGTTTGGAAGTTACCAAACAGCTTAGACACATAAATACTAGTACTAGCAGTTTCATTTGAAACAGATGGATGTAAACGACTCTCTATGCGCATCTTGGACATTTTTTGCATGAAGATTCAGCACCATGAGGCCCCAGTATGTCACAACCATAATCCCATGCTCCTCTTTGCTTTCTTGCTTTTTATCCAGTAGATTCTCTGCTGCTCACATGGGACCGGTTCCTGAACCTCATGTCAACTTTTGTCACTATAAGAGTAAAACCAACCTGATAAAGTAAACTGTCTGTGATTGCCTAATTTTCAGGAAATCCTCTTCAGACAGTACCGTTTTCTTCCTGGTTGTGGCTAGTAATTTTATGTTATGTTCAGACTGCAAGCAGGAAGAGCAGAAAAAATGTGCATGTGATTTCCCTTTTAATGCTTGTACAAGTTTAGTTCTGATGCACGGCTGAAGCATCTGCTGCTCTCGCTGCACGGTCATAAGTTGGGTCTAATGCCTGTTGGGCGGAGCTTCCCTATCCTTTCTTAAGGCTGATTTGTACTCAGAAACCAGGCGGTCTGCGTGTTTGTCGCAGTGATCATAAATGTGCCTTCCCCAGTGCAGACACTCTGCCGCGCCTTTGCAAAACTGTAGGTGACCGCAGACAGTGGCACAGATAGGAGGCCTCTGATTGGTCAAATCTACATCCGCTCTACACTATGCGTATTTCCTGTTTGGTACCTTACCGGCTTGTTTTGTCTGTATGACCGCCATTGTGGAAAACGACTCGTGAAATTGGACCAGCTAGAAGAGCGAGGTGCACAAGAACGCTGGGACCCTTTTTCCACTTGGAACCCCGCTCTTTTTGCCCTCATGTCCTTCCGCTGTCGCACAAACCTTCCCCTACTTCCTCACTGCCTCGGCCGTATCTAGACCCACAGCTTGTTCGTGATCGTCCCTCTTGCGTTGTGGTGTGGAATAACATAGCACAGACCACGCTTCAATATTGGGCATAAATCAAAAATATGTGCAACAAGCTCACTGCAACACACTGCTGCAGGAGGATAACCAGCCCTTTATCCTGTAACAATAGCAGCTATATTTTCTCCGATTAGTGGATAGTGTAAAGTGTCTCACTTAAGAGAAAAATCGCCCCCAGAAGTGTGGAAAATAATTTTATTTTTATACGCTCAGAATGAAACGAAACTTACTTTTCTTTAAAGACAACACAGTTTGTGATTTATAAAAACCATTCAGCTGTTTCTAAGAACGACTCAAAACAAGGTGTTTAATTTTCCAAAGAACTAAACTAAATTGCTTGCCATATATTTTTCCTGTTAACATCCGTAGTATGGTAGAACATCTTGTCTAGTGAGCTGAGTGCATCACTACACCCTTATTACTTCTTCTGTTTTTAGCAGAGCCCATCAAACAAAGACGATGGGATTGTTCAACTACCGCAAGAATAATCCAGTTTAGTTTGAGTAGGTGAAGTTCGTATAAAGTTTACATTTCAAGCACATCAATTCAGGTAGTCTTTCAAGCAAGTGAATAATTTTTTTCCCCAAATGGAAAACAAAAACACCAATCCCAAAACAGCAAGATAAATTTCATTAAATGACATTAGCATGTTTAGGAGCGAAGCCAGCAGTGAATTGCTTTGTTTTTTATTTCTTAATTATTGAGTGCTGCCCCCAGAGGAATAGCCTCCTGGGTGAAGAGCCACATAAGCTTTAATAAAAACAACAAACGTAAATATTAGGTGGTAAATTCTACTAAGTTTCAAGAGTAGAATCAATATAATAAAATAATTAGCATCTGTTTAGCTAGCCAAAGGAGAGGAACAGCTGATGAAGGAGAACGGTGTGCAGCCATTCCTCTCAGGTTGATTAATGATCAGTTCACCTCCATCTTAAGAATGTGAAAAAGGAAACCGCAGTCAGCCCGCCCGGGCCTGATACATTGCTCTGATCAGAGCGGTGGAACCTAAGCAGTGTGGGAACAGGGACTTCCAGCCAGCCTGAGACTGATGGCTTCACCTCGGGACACCATGCTGAGACAAAGAGCGCCCAGGAAGAGAATACGGCAGCAGCGGCGGCGAGCGCTAGAGGGCAGGCTCAGGGTAACCTCTCAGTCTACCTGAGCCGAGGTCGACGGGTCCGGCCCAGCCGCACAAAGGCAGCACAGGAACAGACAGGCCCCACATATAAAACCCCAGCTCCTGCAAACAGGCTCACTCCACTCATCAATGTGTGTGTGTGTGTTTTCCATGTAGGATGCAGACATTTCTGACATTCTGTGCTGCACCCTGAGGCGCTTTTCCTCCCACTTCTCCTGTGTCACACAAAATCTTCTTTTTCAACACATAAAAAAGACGTTTCAAGCTGTAAAAAGTTGGAATGTAATTAAAATACTTTAAAAAGTTGATTAATTCTTCCACAAATAAAGGGGTGAAACACTGCTTTGATTTCTGAGTTTTGCACAGAAGTCTGAGGGTTGCCTAGAAACCTCAGGGGGAAAAAATATTTTCTTTTAAAGTCTTTTCCAATTAAATCACATTTTTTTAGTCTTGCAATTAGAGATAAAATGATTCATCGGCCAGCCTATATTTTTGGTCGATATAAGCGTTTTTTCTTTTATTGTCTTCAGCCGATATGTGCATTTTCATGTGTGCAGTGGTTCCCCCTAGGGGGGACACTGTGTAACTGCAGAGGACGTAGAAATTAAGTGAGTAAGTTATCCATTTTAAGAGTTTTTATTTTTACTTATTTATGTATTGATCTGAATTAAAATAAGGGCACTTTAAAGGTTTTAGTTTTAGCAATTTAAAGTGGATCGTATTACTACAATGCTGTTGACTTTTGATTGTTCAACTGTTTTTTTCTAACAAAAATAGGTGTGTGGAAATCACTGAATTAGTGCGTTTATCAGCCATGCCTTAAGATTCAGTAATCATGTGTTGCCATTTCCTCCATTTGCTATGAACTGTTAATGTTTAATTTGTTAATAAATGTTTGTTTTTTTGTTTTAATTGAGACTTCTGTAAAAAAAAATGTTGTGTCATTATTATCATGTAATCAGAGAAGGAGAAAGCAATAAAAATCTGCCCAAAAATGTTGGCATCAGTGAGATTGATGTCAAAATAAACTGTATCGACATCAGCTTTAAAGTCGTAGGGAAATCATATTTAAAAGTGAAATAATTTTGGCTTAAACATGTATATAAATCGACTCTTTATCAGACCATATTGTCCCATAATTTAGAAAATGTGATAACATCTGTGTTATTTTTTTTCATTATTTTATGCAGGCCAGTTAGTTATACGTCAGCTTGTACACCTAAATTTGGCCAATCATATATCAACGGTCATCTGTCAATCACATTTTTTCAGTCATAGCATCTTGATTCATATGTCCCAGCTAATATACGCAATGGTTGAAATAAGAATCATTTCCTTTCCTATTGAGTTCCGTCCCAGTGTTCACGGGGATGGACGTCTGTGTCTTCAGCAGGCGTAGAGCTAACAGAACTGGCAGCGTTGCGAGGCAAGGGCTCAAACATGTACGGCTGGAAGCCTTCTACACCAAACCAAGCTTCTGCCGCCCTGGCGTTCTCTTCCACAACATCTTCGTCCCGCTTTCCTCCTCTAAATAAAAAATGTACGAGGGAGGAGACTCATCCATGACCTCCGACACTAAACTCTCCTCCTCTTGCATGTTTCCGCTGTCCATTGCTAGGCAGTTGCTAACTACCTAGCAAGATGCTTCCAACAAACTGGCCACAATCAGACTTGCTTGCGAACCTTCCACCACAACAATCCCGCCCCCTTGATAAACGACCAATCACATTCCCTTTATTCACTCATGTAAAGTCATGCACCACTCAGGAGAATTCGGAAATGCAACGGTTGGAACAGCCGTTTCCCTACGACTTTAATAAACTGTTATCAGTCCATCTCTGCTTTTAATTTTATGGGGAAATCTGTCCTTCTTTTTTCTTTTTTCTTTTTTTACAGTGTCCTGTCTGGCAATGTGGCAATAAAAATAATTGTCTTGATGCCAAAAAGAGCCCAACAGATTTTACTTTCACAAGTGTAGCAGTATGGCAGTTGCCATATAGCTCCACTTGTTTCATGCATATAAATTGCTTTATTATAATTATGCAGGGAGTTTTATAGTTTATATGGACACTGCAATGTAAGTAGGGCAGAAAAACAGAAGAAGAAAAGGAAAAAAGAAAAGATGAAAGAAAGAAGAGACAGAAAGGAGACAATGACAAAACATTTTCAGTCTGCTTATCACCTGTAACGAGTCCTTCTTTTTTAGAATTCCAGATAAGTTAACCCTTTATCCAGTTGATGTTCTGTTTTAATTTTTTTTTATTTTACTTTTTTTCTAAAACAAAAAATAAATAAAAAACAACAGATACCTTATATTGAGTCACAATGCAAAGTAAAAATGTATTTCATATTACTGTGTATTTAGGATTTTGTAGAGCTGAGGTTTGTGTCCCACCTGCTGTACAGCCAGCCAGCTCCCCTACAAGGATGAGGCCAAACCCTCCAACATCCCTGAGCTCCACCCAATGCCAGGAGCCGGCATCCCATCCCAGAATCTGTTCCGTTTTACTGCCATCTTACCAAGGAAATATTTTAATTTATCCTGTCAAAATCAGTAAATAAAAGATTTTACAGCAAGTCTGTTGTTTTCCACAGAGCTTGTGTGCCTTTTGTAATATATTTACCATTAAACACTTTCTGTAGAGAAATATGAGTTAACTTAGTTAAATTATAATGTAAAGCCTCATGATTTGTCTTTTATCAGTATTAATATTAAAAAGTACATATAAAATAGTATCTAGCCTTTATTTTGACTAAAACTTTAGGCTTGTTTGTTATTTCTTTTTATTATTATTGCAAACAAATAACCCATATTGGCCATACAGCTTTGAAGAAAGAAAAAAGTAATCTAGAAATGTAACTTTAAAAGCTTTTATATGAAAAGAAAAAAGGTTTTGAGAGTTTTTTTCTGTTTTCTCAGATTTACATTTTTCTAATTTTTTTGTCCATATTTTTTTTGCAGTTTCTCTTTTTCTGACTGACTTTTAAGAATTTCATTCTTTTTAGATTGGGTTTTACAGAAATATATTAGAAAAAAACTCATCTGAACATATAAAATCTATTAAATCTGAAATGTGAATAAATAACAAATTGAATATGAAATAACAGTAAAAAAAAACAAAAAAACCCGTTTAAACAAAGAAGATCCATTTCTGGATTGCATTTTATATATATTTTTTTTTTCTTTTTACATGTCTATTTAAAAACATGTTTTTTGCAAACATAATGGAACAAAATGGACTGAATAATTTAATAGCGTCAGCAGCAATGTTTCACCCCAGGGCTCCTTGTAAATAAGGCCATGTTATAATTTATCAAAGTTTCAAAGCAATTGAGAAGCTCTAAGCTTAATAAAGTGAAGCTAAAACTCCTGCACAGCAACAGACTGAGAAGGTCATAGAGGAGACAAATACTTCTTCTCTTACTGTAACATGTTGTTACCTGTGAAGCCATCACTACCAAAGGAAGGTCAGCAATTTGGTAAATCATAAGATATGGACACTAGTTTAGCTTCTTTGCTTTTGTTCAAACAGTATTTGCACTTTGACACATTTCCTTCCTTCTGGCTTTAGTACTAAGACAGTTTTATAGCAGGTAAAAGCTGTATACTAGAAGTAATTCCTCCTATTGTTGAATTGAAAAATTCCCTTTTTAAAAGCACATTTTTTAGAGCATCAGGAAATCAGTTCAAGGTATTAAAGTCGTAGGGAAGCGGCCATTCCAACCATTGCATTTCTGAATTCTCCCAAGTGGTGCGCGACTTTACACCAGTGAATAAAGTGAATGTGATTGGGCGTTTATCAAGGGGGCGGGATTGTTGTAGCGGAAGGTTCGCAAGCAAGTTTGGTTGTGGCCGGGTTATCGGAAGCATCTTGCTAACCAGTTAGCAACTCAGTGCTAGTAGGTTCCCAATGGTGTAGAAGGCTTAAAGCCGTACATGTTTGAGCCCTTCTATAACTAACTGGCATGCATAAAATAATGGGGGGGGGGACGCAGATTTTCAGACAGGATTCAATTCAAAATGTCTGGATTAGCGCTGAGGTTTTTTTTTTTTATAACTTTTTTGGAATGACTATGACCTGGATGAATGAGAATCTTCATCAGCATGTTAGCCAATCCTCCTACTGTACTGTTGAAAGTGGATTGGCTACTTGTTTGTCAATCAAACATTTTGCCTATGTGCCGCCATGACGTTAAATACGTAGGCTCCACGCGTATCTCATAAGCTGTTTGGCTAGCGGACCGTCATTACGCTGCACCATGAAGAAATTATCCTACGCTGGAGGAGGGAGGAAGGATGAAAAGAAGGAGGGAGAATAGGGGAGGGAAGAAGGATGGAAGAAGAGATGGGAGGGAGGAATTCTTCGAAGGAAGGAAGGAAGGAAGGAAGGAAGGAAGGAAGGAAGGAAGGAAGGAAGGAAGGAAGGAAGGAAGGAAGGAAGGAAGGAAGGAAGGAAGGAAGGAAGTGTTCACCTTAACTTCATACATAATAAACATGTTTCTATTGATCTTTTAACTCCTAATTGTCTTTATTTTATTTCAATTTTCAAACCTCTATTAATAATAAAATGCTCTATAAATGAGTAAAGAAAGAAGGGCAACAAAATTAAATATCATTTCAATCTTAGCCCACGGGTGAGTTGTGCTGTTTTCAGAAGATGCTGAGGGCCCCCCATGAGGCCCCTGTGGGGCGGTGTAATTGCAGGGAGCCAGAAATTAAACTGACGTTAATAGTTTGAGTTTTTGTTTCATAATTTAGGGCTGCGGCTATTGATTATTCTTTAGAAACTGATTAATCTATTAATAAGTTTTTGATCAATCTATAAATTAAAAAAGAGAAATTAAGATTTTTGAATAAACAAACATTTGGAATACCCAAAAAAAAGCCTTTTATGAACTTTTTTGTTTTTAGAACTAAATATAAACCAACAATTTAATCTTTACTAAAAAAAAATTGTATGTAAAAATTGTATATAAATAGCTTGGATGCATTCAGCAGCTTGAAGCGTATCCATTTCTGCTCTCTCCATCAGCTGTTCACAGCTAATATTTGTTTACTTGTTTAAATTAAGACTTTTGTTCCGTTTAGAATCGGCCCAAAGTTCGGTGAGGCTGACGTGAAAGTAATCTGTATTGGCATCAACCTTAGAAATATATCAGTTGATCTCTACTCCATATGAGGGATTGATGAGAAATAAACAAGAACAATGCAAGCAACTGTTAACTGTTGTGAATTGGTCCCATACTGATAAAGTAATTTTAATTAGCATGTATCAGCATGACAGGCTGATACCAAAACATACTTTACCGTAATTTGAAACTTTAAAGTGGTTAGATCCTAATCTAGATCTGTCTAAAACCAAACTAAAGCTGCATAAAAAAAAAAAAAAAGTTAAATAAATGATCACTACCTAATTAAGATGAAGGGTATCTACTTCAAACAGCCAATAGACAAATCCATTAAGAGAGAATATATCTGCTATGGTCCTGCCTGTGCCTGACATGGATTTATTGGAAAGCAACAGTATCTCTAAATAAGGTTCTTTCAGGGTTAAATGTTCATCACTGTTTTTTCTTATCTTCACCATTTGATGGGTGGAAACTAAAACAATAAACGTCCATCAGTTTAAAAAAAGAGCAGATCCCATTCGAACAAATCCAGAACATCCTGGATCTATAAGCTGCTGTTTACGAGTGGAGGCCCCCGTCTGGATTATGCAACAGCTCTTTGTGAAGTTCTGGGAAACCCAATTAAAAAGATTGCTGGTTGCTCGCTGTCCCCCAGGCTGTTTCCTGTCTGTGTGTGGATGCAGACTCACTCATCTCCATGTACTCTGGTGTGAGGCCTTCAAAAGGAGCCAAAGCGTAGTCCAGGTTCCACTGCAGGGGAGTTTTCTCCTCGTCCTTCTGCTTCTGCGTCGGCTCTTTCTCCTTCAGCGCGCGTATCAACTTCTTTAGCTTCCTGTTCAGATTTAGCAAAACAGAAAAAAAAAGTATATCTTTATTGATATATATCTTATTTATATATATATATATCTTTCTTCATATACTTAGCAAATAAGATAAAATACAAACATATATGTTTATGTATGTGTGTGTATGTATATATATATATATATATATATATATATATATATATATATATATATATATATATATATATATATATATATATATATATATATATATATATATATATATATATATATATATATAAATAATACCTGTCAGCAGTTATTTTGGTTAACTGTTTACGAACAACGTACTTTAATAAGCAGGGGGCTTTTATGTCTTTTAATGCTTATTATTTTATTTATATTAATATTATTTTATATTATATTAATATTAATATTATTGGAAGCGTTTCATTTTACTAAATTACCATATATTAAATTTTATCATTACTCTTATATAAATTTTCAAGTGCCATATATATTGACACACACATATATATATATATATATATCTCAAAGGTAGTGAGAAGTTTGTGTGTGTGTATATATGTGTATAGGTTACAGATTTAAGCTGTAATTCCTGCGATCTACAGTACTAAGAATTTTTGTCAAAAACTAATTCCAAATTGTTAAATAAATTCTATATAAGGTTATTTCATTAGATGGAATTTGTGCAGTTATAATTATAATATCTTTATATTTAGATCCATTGTTTAGATGGTAGCGAGCCACGGCTGATTACTTTCCCTTATTCTTTGAGCAGCCTTATTGCAAATTATTATAGAGTTTAAGTAACAGCAAAAAAAAACAAAAAAAACAAAACAAAGTGGAACAATTCTAATCAATTGGGACGATATTTCATGATTTTGTAAGATACGGACCACTCCTGAATACTCCACACAAACCACATTAAGAAGTTTTTTCCTGATGTGTTTTAGTCAGATTAAACCTGCCCAACAAGGCAAAGAGACGTTTAGACCCAAATTCAGAAACTTCAAACAGACTGAAAGGCACTAATACAGCTGTATCTTAGTTTTGGCTCTAGTAAACATTCCTGTGCTGCATGGGTCGTAAACAAGTTTATTTTCTGTGATCCATCGAAGGTTTGCTGCACTCTGTCATAATATATGTATCACAATAAAGTGTTTACAGCATCTAGGAGGTAAACATCTCCATGGAATCTAACAACCGGAGGCTAGCTGCTTCCAAAGACAAGTTAAGGCAGGAGATTGACTGATATCACACATGAAAACCTGAATCTGCAAAAGAATTAAGTGGAAAAATGGAGAAGGAGGGTTTATAGGAGTCATTATATTAGAGAGGATCGTGTGATGTGAACGGTGCTACGAGGTACAGATGTTTTCTCTGAATGTAAACAGTAATAATCCCTGAGCAAAGTCACATACTTCTGGCATTGTGTGCAGACTGTAAGGTGGGTTGGGTGTTTGCATGACTTTGAAACTTGCTGAACCTGTAACTGAAAGTATCCAGGTTTGTATAGTAGTTTTCTTCTCTCTTTATTGAGAGCTTTAAGTATTAGTTTTTGTTTATCTGTTTGGAGCTTTTCATTCTCGTTTTTTTTTCATGAATTTTGTGTTTAGGTTTTGCTATTTGGGTCTATTATTTTTGCTATTAGGGGTTTGCCATACTAGTTTAGGTCTTTTTTCCTTTTGTCAGGTGTTTTCTAGTCTTTTCCCATGCATATTTATGGAGTGAATTTTGTACAATCATTATTGCAAGAAAAAAAACACGTTTCAGAAAACATTTCTGTGTTTTTCATCAAAAAACTTTTTTTTTTTTAGCATTTAAACGCAGACAAAATTGCAATCCGGAATTTTTTTAAGGTTTTAAGAATAAATTAGTTGTTTTCCCAGATTTTGTTTTTTTAATCATTTGCTTTTATTTAGGCTTCATACTTATATTTTTTGTGTGTTTTTTCAAATGGAATTATTTTCAGATTGAGTTTTACCAATAACTTCGGCTTCCTTCTAGGGGCGGGCTTTCGTCAAAGGTCAAAGAAGTATTTCTGCTGGTCTGCTGGACGTTAACATTTTTAATGGTCAAGTGCAAGCATTTGTATTGGACTTAAAATGAAGAGAATATGATCTTTAACAGGCAATTTGAAAACAATCCAATTCATAAAACTCAATCTGAAATACAAATACAAAATGTAGAATCTGTTAATAAGAAATGTGAAAAAAATCCCATTTTGAAACAATAAAATTTCAATGTATAAAATCTGTCAAATCATTTAAAAATCATTATTATTCATAAATGATGAATAATAAATGTAGAAACTTAAAATGAATAATGCGCAACACAGAAAGAATTCGTCACAAAGATCTTTGATGACGAAAAGATGACGACTCATGGGTGTGAGTTTTCATTGACGAGACTAAATTAAACGTTAGTGGGGGGTCCGTCAAACGTTTAAAATGCATCATTGTGCTGTAATCTGTTAGACAAGCTAAGCAGTACCAGCCGTTTATGTTTGGTCATGCCTCCCACCTGGCGTGCAGCGGTGCAAGTTCTGCATGATCACAGATGGAACATGGAGATCCTGCAGCATTCCAGCTGGCTGGAATGATCCGGTACTGCACGCTCAACTCTGACAAACTTCCAGCTGTGCTTGTACAGAAATGTATCTTTGCACGGTTAATTTCAGACGCTGTGGTTTGCTCTCCACACTGATGATTCCTTTTCAGCAGTATGGCTCTTCCTGCTCTCGCTACTGATCATCTTCTGCCAAACGTAAAATAATCCTTTTGTCTCACTATCAAGATTTTATTTCTTCCAACTCGCAAGAGGTAATGCAAAACCTTTTTTAATTTCTACCGAATTATATCCAAAGTAAATATTTTATTGCATATTGTTTAGTTTTGAATAAAGAGCTGGTTGAAAAGGTACATAGATCTTTGAATATATTCACTCTCACAGTTCTAGTTTCAATCTATTTCAATATTTCAACATTGTAGTTAACATATTTTTGAAATTCTGGATTGTCGTGGCATTATAAGGGAATTATGTAGGTTCTCTCTGTGTTTTTTTTTATATCAGAACCCTGTGAATTTAAATCTACTTTGACCCCTGAGCAGTGTTAACCAAGGGGGAAATTTGTCCAAATTCAGCCGAAATTATGTGTTGAACTCCATCTGCTATTTTTACAACATTTTCAATATTTTTTTTATATAAAGCAAGGCATTAATTAATAAAAAAGTTTTAAAAAGTTTATTAATTCTATAAATAAAATTGAATGATAAACTGCACGGCAGCATTCTATACCCAGCAACTGTAGCGTCTAGGCTAGAGCTGTCAGTCTGGTAAAGAATCTGATGGTTATTCAAAATTGTAAAGATTAACTGTTTATGTATTGCAACATAAAACTGACTAAAACCTTTTTGAGTTTTAGATGGCTAAAACCACAAAGAAAAACTATCACACATCGTATTTTCTCTTTTTGAAACAGACTGTTTAAGTATAACTCCACCTATAGCATGGAGCTATGCTAATTATGGTTCAAATTGGGTCACCATATGAGTATTGGTGGCACATGTGTTTGTTTATACAATGCTTGATATCAGATGCAGTGCATCTAATTAAGTTCATCTAAAAAAGGAAAAACATAAATGAAGTGGCATCTTCTCACCAATCTAGCAAAAGTATAAGATTGTTTGCTTGTAATATTACTTTAAGCTTATAATGACTGAGGTGATGCATGTAAAAAGTTTATTCCTTTTCTAGTTTAGATCATATGTTCTTAAGGTGAGATCTCAGAATGACGTGAGCGTGAATCTTCCATAGAAATGAATCCTCTCTGGGAGGACATGCAGGCCCCGACCTAACAACCCTCTGTCACCTTGAGAATACCATTCCCTCATTAGTGCTCTGTGAAAGGAAGCCCTTCCTGAAAGCTGTCCAACCAAGATCCTGAAGCTTTGGTGGAGAGTTTGGATCGATTGTTAAGATGCAGAGAGAAAAATAAATACTTTATCATTTCTGCTATTTGACTAGCAGATATTCAGGGATATATTTCTGTTATTTCTCGATCTACAATTGAATTGGAATTGTGGACTGTTTACTTTTTATCTACATGGTTTCATTGTTATCATCTTTCCCCATCCTTTATGACAATAGTTCTGCCTGCTTGTGAAATATTATTGTTGTCTTGCAAAAACAGAGAAACTCTCCTTCTGTCCCCACTAGGCCCTTTTAAAAAAGGATTCAGGATTATTTATAAAAAACTGACTTTATGTGAGAAATATCTATTTCAAATGTAAATAAAATGCAGTAAAAATCCTGTACGCTGTTTAGTTTTAATATGTTTAAAAAGAATATTGTCACACGTATGACACCATGTCGGTTATGCTGCAATGCATTCTGGGTAAATAACTTAAATTAGGTCCTGTAGCGCTACCTCTATCCAGCGAAATGACGATGCAGAAATCAGAGGCGATGAAGATGAGAATATAAAATAGAGGAAGATGGAAGATCTGGTTGGAAACTATTGCTGTATTTCATGCGATAAATAAGGTGTTGAAAAAAAATGTATCTATTTTCGTCTCATAAAATATGGAGTAAAATTTGTCCCAAAAATTGGGATGAGAAAGAACACAGTTCAAATGCAAGAAATTTGAAGAAAATGTGTTTCAACAATGGATGTTTAAAAAGTTTTTGAAAAAAAGAGATTTTGAAAATAATTAATGTGTTCAACCTATATTTTTTTTACAGTTTTCTTCTTTTTTTAGATCCTATGTGCTCATACTTTTTCAGATCTTATCTTCAACAAATATTCTTTTTAGAATAATTTTTTCTCTTAACATTTATTTTAGCTTTTCACAAATTTTTCAGATTATTATTACCACATTTTTTTTGGATTACATGTTTATTAAATATCTTTTCAGATTAGATTTTTTCCAGATTATTTTCCCCTGGTTATTTCATGTCTTATTTAATTCCGGTCGGAATAGTGTATTCTCCTTGTCTGTGATCAAACCACTGGTGTAAAAGGTGAAAACTGGGAACCTGGATTGGTGAATAATGCATATATTCCACTGAGACTTAAATAACACACTGCTGCATTATTTTAATCACCCCCCAAACAAAATAAATGAAACAAATAATTATGAAATCTGGAAAATAAAACCTGGAAAAACAAATATAGGTGTAACTTTTGCATAAACATTATACATAATTTTTTTTTTAAATTGAATAATTTTTTTAACTTCTGTTTATAAAACATATTTTTCAAGTTTCCTGTATTATAAAGGTGTTTCCTTGCTTTTAAAACAATAATATTGAAGCAAATGTATCTATAATAATCCAGCTGTATCTGGTGAGGATCTGTTTATATTCAAGCATTCTCAGCCAAAACAAACCGTCCCTTTGCTGTAAAACAGTGGCAGCATCATAATGTGAGAAAGCTCTCAATCACTGCCTCAACTACTAGAACATTTTGGATCTTTGGCTTAACTTTCCTAAACGTACAGCCGGTCTGCCATGGGTTAATAAAATCTAAGTGGCTGTGATGATCTCCTGGCTCCTATTAACTAGAAACGACCCTAATCAGTCAACTTTCTGAGTCGATTTCATTTTAAACCAGACATCTTCCTCTACCAGAGCAGCAAACAGCTCCTGGGGAAACCGCCGCCTCCCTGCCAGGTGTGAAAGCTATAAAGCAAATGAATGTGACGCGGTCCACTTGAGGGAAAGTACAAGGTCGCGCTGCGTGGGTCACGGCTCGTTGATCGCACACACTGGAACCTTTGATGAGGCCAATCAAACGGGTCACCGGGGTTAACCTGCGCTCATAGCAAACAGTAACAGCGACGCCTGAGGCTGAGGGATGTTATAAACACAGCGGACCTCTGACCCTTTGGTTCTGCTTGTAAAAACTGAGCTATAATTAGACAAAACAGCGCACAGAGGAAATGTTATCAACAAGAATCTTGCACGGTTTTGTGAGCGACCATGTAGGAGCTGCAGGAATCCACCACCACAAACTGGAAAGCTGCTTTAATGGGAAACAGGCCCAGAAAAGAAAAAAAGTCCTGTTTGCAGATTCTATCAGGTAGTAAGCATCACTCTGAACATTCAGTCCTACATGCTCTGTGTCTGCAGTGATAGAATGCTGGAAAGATGCAGGGGAAGAGCTAGAAGGGGGGCCGGGGGGGCGTGACCGCCCCTATCAGGTGATTTGTGGTTCCAATGTGATCCTAATTCACAAACTAAAAACCAAGAATTATTCCCCTCCAAACCAGAGGGTGGCAGCAGTGAGACCATCAAGTGGAACATCCCAACTTATTTGACCTTTCAGTATTTTAACCACAGACTGAAAAAAAATGTAGTTATTTATTCATATGAATGTACTGAAGTTATAGATGACAAATACGGAACAAAAGCTTTTTTTAAAACAAGAAGATCCAGGATCTTTTCCACGATGAAAGCAACACCAGGAAGATGTGGAAAGGCATTCGGATGATCACAGACTACAACACACCCTCCCCCCCGATAGATGCAGCAAACACTGACTTCCTAAATGAACTGAACAACTTCTCTCCAGCAGTGAAAGCTGTTCCACACCAGGGGGAGGAGACACTAACCCTGGACGTAGCTGAAGTGAGGAAAACTCTGAGTAAAGCCAATTTGAGGAAGGCCCCAGGGCCTGATAACATACCTGGGCGAGTGTATAAGGAGTGTGCAGATCAGCTGGCTGGTGTCCTCACAGACATCGTTAACACCTCGCTGCACCGATACGTAGTGCCAGCATGCTTCAAGCCTGCCTCCATTATTCCAGTCCCAAAGAAGCCTCAGGCCACCTCATTCAATGATTACTGGCCTGTTGCACTGACTCCCATCATGATGAAGTGCTTCGAAAGGTTGGTTAAAGAACACATCGTCTCCAGTCTGCCACCAACATTCAATCCGTTCCAGACGCATCTCTGCTGCTCTCCACCTGAGCCTGGCACACCCTGAGGAGAAGAACAGCCACGTGCGGATGCTGTTCCTGGACTTTAGTTCAGCTTTTAACACCATCATCTCACAGCATCTGATGGGCAAACTGGAACAGCTGGGATTCAACACACCCCTCCGCTATTGGTTGCTAGACTTCCTCACAGACAGACCTCAGTCATTCCGGATCAAACAGAACTCCACTGATGTCATCAGTCTAAGCACAGGCTCCCCTCAGGGCTGCGTCCTGAGCCCCCTGCTGTTCACCCTGATGACACATGTCTGCGTCCCCAGGTTTGCAGACGACAGCACTGTGGTGGGCCTCATCAGTGACGACAATGACCAGGACTACAGAGAGGAGGTGGAGCAGCTGGTGCAGAGATAACAGCCTGATCCTAAACGTGGAGAAGACCAAGGAGATCATCTTGGACTTCAGGAAGAACTGTCCTAACCACGCTCCACTGGTCATCAACAGCTCAGCTGTAGAGGTGGTCAGCAGCAGCAATTTCCTGGGGGTGCAAATCACAGACACCCTCACCTGGAATATAAACACCACCTCACGGGTCAAAAGGGCACAGAAGCGCTTGGACTTCCTGTGGAGGATGAGGAGAGCCCACCTGCCCCCACCCATCCTCACCATCTTCTACAGAAGCACCATAGAGAGCATTCTGACCAGCTGTCTCATTGTGTGGTGTGGAGGCTGCAGTGCCTCAGACTGGAAGAAGGTGAAAACAGCAGAGAGGATCATTGGGGCTCCTCTTCCCTCCATTAAAGACATTTCATCCCAACGCTGCGTGTCCCGAGCATCATCCCTCACACCCCCACCATGGACTGTTCTCCCTGCTGCCCTCTGGGAAGAGGCTTCACAGCATTCAATGCAGGACCAGCAGATTCCATAACAGTTTCTTCCCCACCGCCATTAGACTGCTGAATGTTTTGTAAAATGGGTTATTGTACTTTATTATATTTATTATATTTTATCATAAAAAAAACCGAAAATGTTAGAACTGTAAATTTACTGTCATTTGTTTATATTACTGTTTTTATATATTTTTTTACTATTTTTCAAGGCTGCACTTTAAAAAATGAAATTGTCCAGAGAGCTGTCGTAATTTCTTTTTGTTTCACACTTGTGTAAACAAAATGACAAATAAATCTGTCTAAGTCTAAGTCTGAAATAAAACAAAATACTTCCAGTATCTGTGGTGAAACAAAGTAAAAAGAAAGCGGTCGACTCACGGGATGCCGATCTCAAAGATGTTATTCTGGATCAGCTGCTTCCCCAGCATGATGATGCTGAGCTGGATGCACAGCTCAATGAGGCAGCCTCCTGGAGCACACTAAGGGAAACACAGAGTATCATTTACATCCCTGTCATGGAGGATCACTGTGTGCTTGATCCGTTTAGCCGAAGCAGAAACAAACCTCCTCCATCCGATAATCGTTGAAGACGTACACATAACTTCCAGGTCGACCAGCAAACCTAAAGAGACAAATAAACAGAAGCTATTTAACACATTCTGTTTATTGGCGACACATAGCTTCCACCCGCCATCACCAAACACAGAAACACACAGAGGAGTCATGGCTTACCGCCCTTTGAAGAAAGCCACGTAGAATATGGGAGCGTATGCGTTCATGAACTTCAGTAAGAAGGCCTTCAGGATGAGGCGCTCTTCAAAGGTGGTTTCTGTTTTTGGAATCTCTGAAAAAGAGTTCAGGTAATAAATGATGTAGAGTTTTAAGAACACTTAGAACCCTTCAAATAGCAAAAAAAAAAACAAAGAAGAATAGCAAAAACGTAAGCATGCACAGTGCTGTGAAAAAGTATGGAGTGAATTCTGCTCCAGTATTGTTGCATGAAAAGAGCATATTTTGTAAATGAAAATGTAATAAAGGAATATAATTATTTTTCTTTTTTTTATCTTTTGGAAGTAGCTTTTTGGTTTTCTCAGATTTATTTTGTATTTTTTATGTATTCTACTTTTTTTTATTGTTTTCTGCTTTTTTTGTTCAGAACAAGTTTGATCAGTTTAAACTCAAATGAAAAAAAGGAAAATCTGTAAAAAAAAAAAAAAAAAAAAAAAATTAAGTTGTAAGAATAATATTTGAAAAGAAATTATACAAAAAACGTTGAAAAACAAAATTTACGAAAAAAGGCAAAAACAGAAAAAAGGTAAATGTTTTTGTTTTTTTTATGAAGTTTTGAAAATGTAAATTTCTGGTTCAGTGTTTTGTTTTATTTCCATTTGCAAAACAGGTTCTTTGCTTGCATAAATGGTAGAACGAATGTAACAATATAAAAGGAATTTGTTTCTATAACCAAGTAGATGAAAAAATGTTGTTTCTCTCTTTCAATTATTAATCAAAAAGCTTGTCAAATAGACCAGGCCCACTCTTTCTTCTCTATTCGACCATATTAGTAAGCTTTGAAACACAAATTGTCACTCCATAGAATTTAAGTTCAGACTTTAACTAGTCTCCTCCAGAAGCTTAATACTTAAATTCTAAATACTGTAGAGATTTGGATTGCTTCTGTTGTATAACAACAATCTATTACCTCAGCCTACAGGCTAATGGTCAGACTTTCTCTTTTCAGATTTTCTGGTTGATCTGTGGTTGATTTATCGTGTTGAAGCAACCAAAGAGAAGCAATAGATCATTCCAGGGTGTAACATTCTGCAAAAATTTTCCAGTTTTGTCTTATTGAGCCTCAGGATATTTTGTCAAAAGTCTCAGGGATATTTTTTACCAAATCTCAGATGGACCTTTGTGTTTTTTTGTTTTTTTTCCAACTTAAATCAACAACAATAAAGGTTTTTTTCTAATATAAACATTTAATGTGTTTTGAAAACTATAAAATAAGCATGATGGTTCTTTATTTGCTTCATTAAACTGGATGACCTGCTTCCCTGCTTTCCCTTAGCTCGGTGTCTGATGTCTGCTGGAAGACACGTTGATGCCACTCAACTAAAAACTTGCTTTAATAACATCCTCTGTCGACCTGTGGCCTTATAAATGCTGCTTATTCTGCATCCAAACTCCAAAGAAAAAACTTTGCAGCTACTTTACTCCTATAATGTCGCCCCAGATAGGAATTTTCTACCACTGCCGCGCCTCAAACTAAACACACAATATTGTTTGTTCACTTCTCTTAAAAATGCGACATCCAGCATCACCTTTTTATTTTCTTCGCCATCCCATGATTAACACCTGTCCATATATCCATGTCATGCTGAGTAAATATGGTGCGTTTACTGACCCTGATTGGAGCTCATAATCGTGCATCACTGACTAAGCTTTAATTTATTAACATAGAACTCGATGGGAGGCAGAAAAACATGATGGTCGGGTACAGATATGGTTTTGCAAATCTTTTCTTTTGAAGGGGGAGTGTGGGACTAGTGGTCAGAGAAGTGCTTGTGCTCTTAGAAGGTTCTAAGTATCTGGTTCGATCCCCACAATCTACACTCTGAGGCCCTGAGCAAAACCTTTAACTCTTTACAGGGCAAGTTACAGTTATTGATCAATTGCATAACCGTTACAAATGGAGTCTCCTCGTCACTCAGTGAGATCTAGAAGAACAATATCTATATCCAGCCATTCAGCAAAGATACTGCTACATGCTGTACATCTCATGTTGGCATTTGACCAATTAGATGAGCCCTTGAATGATATATTACCTACTGTAGATTCATTTGAAAAAAGTTAAGTGAAGAAGAAAAGGTAAATAGCTAATTGAAAAGTTAAAACGTAAAGTTAAAAAGTTAATAAGCCTAGTTAAATTATATTTAGGTTCATAAACAAAAAAAATTAAGTGCCAGTATCAGCATTAATGCCTCTAAGGTTATGTTGTACATATTCAGGAAAGTTGGTGTTTCCTGTTACTACAGTCACATTCAATTTTGCCATCAAAATATCCATATTTTTTTAATGTTACAAAGGTACTAAGGTCTTGTCCTCGATTCCAATAACATTACTGGCTTGAAATTTTGATTTTCAAAATATTTCACTGAGGGCCCTATAAAGGGCGACTAACCCCCACACTGCTTCTCAGTGCCGCACAATCGCAGCCCACTGTTCCACAAGGAGATGGGTTAAATGCAGATGTAGATTTCTCCATTGTGGGATCAATAAATTTTTATTAATATTATGAAACTCGTAATTTTGCCAAACAACAACAAGTTAAAATCGCAAATTTCTGAATAGGAATGACCAATTTATGAAAAAGAATTACAATTTTACAAGCATCAATGACTAATTTATGGGTATTAATCACAAATTTATGAACATGAATCACAAATCAATGAGTAGGCATTAAAAATATAAGAATAGGAATCAGAAATTATTAGTGCAATTTAACAGCTATGTGTGCAGATCACAGTTTTATGAATAGAAAAAACAAATTTACAAGAAAGAATCTGACTTTTTTGCATAAATAACAAATTTACGAATATTAATCACATATTTATGAGTGCAGTAACAAATCTATGACTCCAAATCATAGATGAACAGATAAGAATTAGGGATTTGTACTTGTAGATTTTGGATTTGTATCTTTAAATTTGTGAATTTGTGAAAAACACTTTTATGGTGGCAAAGTTGTAACTTTCTCATTTGTATTCATAACTTCTGAACTTGTATTATCACAGATGAAGATCTGATGTCACATCAAAGAAAAAATAAAAACTCTAAATTTGATGACTAACTTTCGTTCACAAATTGGGACATATATATATATATATATATATATATATATATATATATATATATATATATATATATATATATATATATATATATATATATATATATATATAAACATATGTTTATATTAATAGTTATATTACCCCATATTCCCCACCCCTAGAATTTTTGTCCTAAAATAAGTGCTTTTTTTAAATTGAGGAAGTAAATGAGACACTTCCACTGCCAATGGAACAAGACAATTTACATTTAAAATTTAAAAAAGGCAATTGCATTATCTTATTTCAAGTGCATATTTTCTAATATTCTTATTCTAAGAGTAAAATGTTTTTTCCATTGGCAGACCATCTTATTTACCTGTTCATATTAAAGGTAAAATATACCTAATTTAATAAAAATTTCTTTTTTTTTTGATCATATTTGCATTTTAAACATTTCCAGACAGAAACATCCCAATAATTGTGTCCTTTTGCTATTTAGCTCCTTTAGATCAGGACATGATAAGTTAAATATTGAAGAATTCTGTCCTGCTTCGTGTTGTCAGACAGGTTCCATTTAAGTGATTAGTTGATTCTACATGTAAAGCAGTATCAGTCAAGGTTGCAGCTGGAGAAACAAACCCAAAATAGGATTCATTTCAAATGATTTGTGTGAAAAATAACTGAATAAAGGAGGCAAATACTCTTTCCCAACACAAGTTGGAACTAGTTTAAAGTAGTGCTATTTTCTTTTAGTTTTAACCTCTCTCTGAGTTCTCCCTCATTTTTAAGGGCTCTGGAGTCTAGATTCAAATGCTGTAGAAACCTCTGGGGATGTCTGATGAGGCAGCTGGAGCATGAAAACATCAAAGTTTTATCAGACTCTCCAAGAAGAGAAGAAACATGATGTTAGAAAAATGTTTATAACAAGGTTTTAAGTGTGTGTGTTAATATATATTTTTTTTACCAGTCCTTGTGTTGTACTGGCCACTCTGCTAGTTTTATATCCACAATGCACGCTCTCTTGCTTTTATTTTAATAAAAAAAAAGTTTAGCAGCCAATTACACTCTATGGTGTTTCAGGTTATTAGTCTCTGCAGGTGAGTTAACTAGGAGAAATGCTGCAATCAGTAGTCAATAAAAAGATCTAATCACAGCCACAATTGGAATAAGTAGTTTGTGTTTATATTTATTTTGCCTTCATACCTCATCTGAGCCAGTTGTCTCAGCTGATCTGTCATATCACGACTCTCTAAAATACCTAAATCAGCTGATTCGGATCATTTTCTGTAAAAGTGCTAACAGAGATGGCGGATCTGGAGTCAACAAGTCATCTCTATGTCGTGTATTTGATCTGCCAAGCCACTAGGCCAGGTGAGTCCGATCTGCACAGGTTAAACCAGATTGGACTCAACTGGGTTAGTGGCTGGACAGATCAAATACACAACATAGTGACAACTTCTTGACTCTCTCTGAGTCCTAACTATATGTCCCATAATGGATTATAAGTTGATATAGATCTACACAGAGAGATAATTGCTGAGAAGGCTACGATCATTCAACATCTGCAGGAAACTGGCTAGTCGGGATTAAACTGGACTCTGTTTCGATGGTGGCAGAAAGAAGGACTATGGACAAACTACTGAGCATTACGAATGACGTCAGTCACCCTCTGCACACCGTTCTCAAGGACAAGAGCCCGTTCAGCAACAGGCTGCTTTTTCAGACCATCAGACTGAAAAACTCTTTTGTCCCATACGCCATCAGACTGCAAAACTACTCTCTGTGAAGGAGGTGTAACAGGAGGACAGAGGATGATAGGGACCAATAAAAGTAGCATGAATACTACCTCACACTGTATTATGTAATTTTTGTAGTGTTGTGCCGATGCCATTTTGTGGCCCGATACCTGCCTGTACAGCATTGGCCGATACTGATACCATCTGTTTCAAATTGATGTGTGTGTGTATATGAAGAACTGCATACTAGTTGGATGTAAAATAATTGCCATCATGCTTTGTCAAGCTGCTGCCTACCTTTGTGAAGTAGGAAAAAGACTAATACAAAGTTAATCCAGTAGAACTTTTTATTGCCTACCTGGAATGGTTGACAATAGTTGAATAAACTTTTGGTTCTCAAAATGTTATCGGTGCCCTATTTGTTGGTACTTAGCGATACCGATACCACCATTTTAGTGCTGGATCGGCCGATACTGGTATCGGTAAAACAGTCATTTTTGTGTATTTCTTTTTTTGTGTATTTAGGTTTTAGGTTCTTTGGAACCACAAGACAAAACATCCAGCTGGCATTTCCGTACCTAGCTCAGTTAGCCACAGTGCCACAGCGCCATAGATTTCATCCAGGATCAGGATGACCACGAGGTTGATGATGACGGCGGTAGCCGTAACCGTCACCCGAACGTTGGACTTTATTTCAGGGTCCGGACTCATCGCCATCAAGGCTGAGACCGTGATCCGGTAGACGATTACACCAAAAACGGCTGAAAACGTCAGTCCAAACTAGCACCAAGGAAAAGATATGGGGAAGATGTTAAAAAATAACTTGTACACATTGGTTCTAAAGACATTATCTAAAAATGTGTTCATTACCTTATAAGCTGAGAAAAAAACGACAGTAGAAACTAAGAACAAGTCTTTACTTACCATGAAAAGAATAGAGGAAATATTCATAAAGTATCCAGGAAGGCGGTCTTTCCAGGTCAACTTCTCAATGACTGTCTGAATGAGGACAAAAGGAAAACAGAAGACAGAAAACAATAAGACGAAGTTCTGAATCAACAAAGCAGTGGCCATTGTTGTTTAATTTAATTGGAAGATTTAGATTTCGGGCGAAAAGAAAGAAGTCCCTAAAAGAAATCAGCATTAAAGAAAAGCAGAAAAATTTACCCTTTTCACATTTATTAATTTGCTTTATGGCTGGTAAGTATTCCTCCATCCATAAATCTGCAGTTTGCTTATTAGAATAAGATCTGCACTCATGAAGGCACAGATGCAAAAAATACCCGCTGCTCTTCTTATGTTACACCCGGAATGAAGATGAACTTAGCACATGCTAACAGGTTTGCACACATTTTATTACATGCAAAGCCTTATAAGATCTGCCAGTGTTGGGAAAGTTCTCTTTCTACGTGAACTAGTTCAAAGTTCAGTTCACACATTTTAAAATGAACTAGTTCAGTTCATAGTTCATAATTCAAAACCAAAAAATGAACTAGTTCATAGTTCTTTTTTTTTTTTCATATATTGCTCAATTACACCATAGCCTACTGTAGAACCACAGACAGCAATTATTTTATCAGTTGTAACTCTGAAACTGTGCGTCAGATTTCATCTTCATATCCAGTTTTGAATCCTTATCCAACCAGGGTTTACATTAGCATTGAGGGGACAGCATTTCCCCATTGTTGCTTTAACGCTTTGTTGCTGTCCATTCACTTCACACTAGTAGCGGCTGCAGCTTTCACCCCTACAGTATATTCTCAAAAACATCAGGAAAAATGTGCTGCTTGAATGGTCTTTTTTATGAGTAATTATTAAAAGAAAAATAGGAAAGTAGTCTTTAAGGTGCAAATGTTTTTTTTTATTTTAATAATTTTTTCCATTTGAAATTCCATTTCAATACATACTAAAAAGGAATCCTGGAAAATTATACCAGGCAGGTTTAATAAACAAGTTACATGGATAGTAAAACCCTCAAGAACAGGGGTCTTCTATGTTTTCCAGACCAAGGACCCCCAAACTGATGGCGAGATGGAGCGGGGACCCCCTAACTCTATATATTGTATGAAATTGTGTCCTATAGTCACTCTATTACAGATGGAGTAATGTAAAGAAATTAATTTCTCCCTGGGATTATTAAAGTTTTTCTGATTCTGATTCCTGGTTGCTGTGAAGGAAACGGTGCCCAGCTTGAAAGAGCTCCTGTGTGTCGCTGAATGTGAGCATTGATGACTGAAAGACATCTTCTGCCTCCATTTATCTGTTTACTACAGTGTGTTGATTTCATGTTAATGAGTATTTAAAGACATTTCAATTAGTGGGGGGAAAAAATGCAGGGGGAATATAAAAATATCAACTAACCATGCAGACCCTCATGCAGTACCTCCGTAGACCCCCTAGGGGTCGCGGATCCCCTGTTGAAGACCTCCGCTCAAGAAGATTTTACTAACACAAACTGAGGGACCAGGCTGAGGTAGGAATTTAAGGTTACTGAAGTGCGGATTTTTTTACTGAAAGCCGGCGGGCAAACTTGTTGCCATCATCCTCACCGACCACCTGGTCATAAATCTGTTTTAAGTCGCCTCCATGCTGCTGTTGCTTCCACGCTGCATTTTGTTTTGATGACGCACGCGGCTGTAGGCTACGACGCTGGTAGCTGCTGTTGCCAGATTGGGTGTTTTTCCCGCTACATATTAAGGCCCGTTTACGGTGTGATTTAGCCGGGGTTTCGCCTGGAGGGCTTTATAGAAATCTGGCAACCTATTGAACGGAGTTGAACTGTGAGAGCGTGCCGTTCACAGACACCAGAATGAACGAGTTCACAATAACGTTCATCAGGCAATAATGCAGTACGTTCAGTTCACGTTCGCCCAAAATATGAACGAGTTCATGAACTTTCGTTCAATGAACGCGTTCAGGCACAACACTGAGATCTGCTCTTAAGATGTGTGGTTTTAATCTGACAGAAATTTATTTGTTCCTCTTTTGATGACAGAACTACATTCCATAGATAATCTCCTAACTAGAGCCATGCATAAAAGTATAACTGTGTCAGTGACATGTAAGTAAAAGGCAGTCTCCAAAACTGCACATTCTTCAACACAGATTTGCCTTATTTACTCATATTTGGGTGGAAATTGGTCTAATTTATGAAAATATTCTCTAAAAAATATATTTTTTATGAAACTAAAGTCAACTCATGTGCTCTGATTTAAATCAGCGGAGATTTCAGAAAATTTGTCATTAAAAAAGGCAAGAGCAGCAAGGGAGGTGCTGATAACTCGCAATGCAACATCACCATCTAGTGATCATAAAGGCACATTACAACAAGCAATCAGATAAAATTGGATACTCAGAAAAAATTCAATCATTATTATCTATTTATATGAGAACTGATAACAGGGATAAATAAATGTATATTTTTAAACTGCTATAGTTTTAGAGGTTAGTTTGAAATAAACTAAAGTTGCACAGAAAGGTAGAAAATTCAGCTTTGAACTTTTAGATTTTTGTTTCACTTTAAGTCACATCATACAGTAGTAAAGCAAGGTGGGTTTGGATGGAGTTCTAGTGTGAATGTGAATGAGTGTGTGGTGGGGACAGCCATCAGCGGGGGAGGTATTAAATTAGGTCAGGTGTTATATTTGGCTTGTCGAGTCCACTGAGGGAAAGCCTGACAAAGCTCCTGTGACAGAGACCCGGTGATAATTTCCCCTCTCTTTTGTCCAACCTTCTCTTACACTTCCTTTCAAACCACACATAACATCAAAATGAACATTTAGTTTATCATTGGAGCAGCTAATTAAGGGCTTCATTTCATGCTCTACACAACAGAAATATTTATAGTTCCAATGGCATCAAAGGAAATGATAACTGCTCTCTGCTGCAGGAAATTAAGTAAAATATGAATAAACTGTGGATAAATCTCTTTATCTTCCATTCAGACATCAGAGATTTAAAAAAAATAAATAAAACTGCTCTTAAAAGTAAACAGAATGTGGTGTATATCCTATTCAATATCTTCGATTTATTTTCTACATTCAGTCTTCTTTAGTTAACCTCAGTTTTTATAGAATCTTATATTGATGAAACACACTGTACGTGTCCCTTTAGGGTTATATTAGTATGTGTAAAATTGCTATTTTTACTTAAAAGTATAGTGGAGGATGTTCTTTTTCCAGTAGGATCATCTAAATAAGTGGTCCTCCTAACTGTCAATCATTCTGGTGGTATGTTTATGTAAGGCTGTCCTTACATAAACATGCCACCATTTCCACATACCAATGGTGTCTGACATAGTGAAAAAATTGCAAATCTTCTTTTGGAAAGTAAACTTGTATTAGCGATGCAAACAGCAACTTTTAAACAGAGCGTGCACGAGGAGAAATCGGCTCGTGCACACTCTCACATGCGTTTAATAGGAGTTCCCTTTCAGTAGTGGGTACAGGGTTGTGCATGTGCATTTTTTTTATATGGGCTGTGCATGTGCATTTTTTAAATAATTTTTGCAATTTTTCAAAAATGTGCAAAAATCCTTCACTATACCTTTAGAAACAAAGTTTGCAAAAAAAGGGTGGGAAGAGAATCACGCTTCTTCTTTGTTTGTTTTCTGTTTCAATTTGAGTTTGCAAAAAGAAAATACATTGTTGTGTTTTCTGTTTTTCCATTTTTAAAACCTAAATGTATTATTTATATTTGATTAAAAATTTAATAAAAAAAAAAGGCTGCACTTTTAAAAAGATGAAATTATCCAGTGAGCTGTTTCCAAATAAAATTTCTTTTTGTTTTACAAAATGACAAATAAAATCTGTCTAAAGTCTAAATAATCATTATATCAAATAATATAATCAAATAATGGTTGTTATTAATTTGTTGCATAGAGATGTTGTTGTTGCAGGTTACAATTTGTCAAAAATACTCACTTTAGTAGAGGTTTTTGTTTTTAAGTAAAGAAAAAAGATGCACAAAGGTTTAGGAAAAATTGGTTAAATTAACAAAAAATTTTTTAAGGGTTATATTGTAATCGCAAAAATAGCTAGGAGTGTCCATTTTAGCTGCTACAGGAGGCAAAACTGATCAGTTTTGTGCAGACCATCACTTTTTTTTTATTTCAGCTGTTAAGACAAGAGAAATTCCTCAGACTCTGCTAATGGTTGCATTCAAACACTATGCTGAATTAATTACAGAACCTTTTCAGAGTGTAAAAACCCCACTGTGAAGTAAGCGTCGTCATGGAGACATACAACACTGTTCTCTCAGGGTCTTACAAAGACTCAAGTTGCAATAATGTTGACAGCCCTCCATTAAGCTTTTACTCTGAAGTCTACATACCAAAGTGAAGACAGGAAATGCTGAGTCGTTGCCGTGGTGACGACAGCGGGAAATCAGAAAAGGCCCTGATTTTGTTCTGGTTTGATATGGATTTCTAACCATGTTAAATCATCTTAATAAAAATGTAAACAATGAACTGTTCCCAATATTGGTGCTGATAGGAAACTTAAGGCTCTGGGCGCTCAGACCAAAATTTCAGGTCCTGCGAGAAGGTATAGCAAAATATCAAGCATGTCTTTTCATTTACACAATAAAATATGAAAAATGCAGACATATTTGGGGGGGATTTTTCTAATTTTCTAACACAATTAAAGATAAATAAATAACGAGCTGTTTATGTTTTTCATTTTTTTTTAAAAAGCCGAGAGCGGTCGTGTCCCTTCGATACTTTTTCACGCTAGTTTTCTAGAGAAAACGAGTTGATTTTCTCATTAGCTAAAGATAACGAAAGCTGCTTTCTCGTCATAACAGGATGATTGGTGTGTGTTAAAATTGATTACATCCTTCAATACCACAACAACCGGAGAGGAGTTCTAACTACAAGTCATTCTGTAATTCTGCAAATAATCCTGTGTTTAACTTTTAGGTAACGAGACGATTTTGTCGGTTTGATGATTTCCTTCCACTTCTGATTCATAAGCTATTAGACCTATGTCTCCAGCGCCTTAGCGCCAGGTGTTTTCTGAACATCCCCACCTGTAACAGGTAGAAGATGCATTAACCTCCAAAATGAGTCCAGATTAAAGATTTTCATTAAAAAACATTGCAAACATGCAATCCAATCATCCTCCACGATCTGACAAGGAGTGAAAAGAATCTAAAAAACTGATTAAATACACTGAGAAATAATAATAATTAAATTAACTGATAAAAATGTTGCTAACGTCCATGCAGATGGAAGCTTGCAACAGAATTAGCTGTATAAGAGCCTAGCTAACAGTTCTCCTATTAACTAAATCATCTACATGAGCTTGGAATCTGCACAGCTCCTCCAGAGGTACCTTCTTGGCTTCGTCTCTGATTATGTCTTTCTTCACTAGGCTTGTCACTTTAGGTGAAAACAGCGCCTTGGTACGCCTGCAGCTGCACCTTTCCCTTTGATATTTTAGGATGTTTGTTAAAGCTTGTTCCAAAAACCTGCTGTACTGTTTTATAACCAGTAGTGTAGTTAAAAAAAAAAAGGAAAGAAGGGTAATGGTGGATTATTTTTTTTTTTTTTTGGAAGCATACATAGCCTATTTAATATAGTCTGCTAACCTAAAGCACTATGCATGGTATGTTAAGGTACGCCGGTCATTGACTTTGACCAAGGGTCCTTACAGTAGAACTGCAGTCAGTCCTGGACCGGCATGGCTGTCACTGCCCCTACAGAGTTAGGTACTAATTTTTCCACTGGGATCAGCTTCATAGTCATGGTAGGTCACTTATTTGATTTTATTTATTTAGATCAGGCTACTTCTGAGTTCACAGCCCACCAAATGTTGAACTGGAAATATTAAATAAAATATTTTTGCCAATATTGTTAATATATAGTAGAAATTTTACACATTCATTAACAAAATATCACAGAGGATGGTATGTGTGATGATCATTTAAGAAGATGGATACTATCCATCAGCTCAAGTACTGTTTATAACCCAGATTAGTTTAAATTAAAAGTATAGAATTAGAGCTAAAATCATATTTGAAGTGAATATTTCACTGAGCAGAGAGGGAAACAAAAGAAAACTGCTCCATTTCATGCTCTTGCTGCATCACTCAGTAGAAATGATACATAGTTCCCAGTATAGGACACTGAATATAACAATTTGTTATATTTGTACAGAGTGATGAGAATATTCACTGATTATCCAAAGTCTTCCAGTAACGGCTGCAGTTTTCTTTGAATTTTGAAAACTAATTTAGTTGGAACCCACAGCACCTTTTTTTGTGTCTCAGGTAATAAAGCCAAAGGCTGCTAAGTGTGCATGAGAGGTATAGTTGTGTGTCGCCATAGTGACGGTCACTAATCTTACCCCTGGCTTCCTGCCCAGCATGCATCACTCCCACTTAGGCGCTCTCCCTCTGTTTTTCTTCCTACCTTCCTACTTCTCCCAGCCTCTCAGTTTCTTTCGCTTTGTGTCTCTCTTTGTCTTTTATATTGCTGTTTTATTTTTTTTTAAACAGCCTTGCTTTTCTAATTTCTTTCCACAAAATAATGTTGATTGGAAAGCTATAATTAGAAATACTGCCCTACTGCTAAAGTAATAGGTTGAATTAAAAAAAAAACAGCTTAAAAGCATGTTGGAAAACTTTTAACTGCTATTTGCTGTATTACTGTAATGATGTATGTGAACAATCAGGTTCCCCTGGTTTCCGCCCTCACTATAGCACAAGAAGCTACCCTCGTAAAAACATTAAAATTACCTCTTAATTGTGCCAAAGCACATGGTTAGGAAAAGGGTTTTCAGGAAAATGTTTTTCCTCTTTTTTTTGTGATTTTTGATCATTTCATTTATTGTTTTGTGAAGCAAGCTAATAGGAATCTAATTCTGACAATGCCATATGGTACCCATGCTGACATGTTTCGAGCTGTTGTGTAGAAAGCTGAAATATAATGTTAACGTTTATGTGTTTCTCAATTACATTTTATGAGATGCAGACACAGCATCTACAATTATAGACTTTTCCCACTAGTGCCTAACATTCTTGCCGGCTCCAGGGCAGCGTGCTTACAACACCATGCTAGAGGAGGAATTAGAAAACACCGTCGTTTACAACTTTTTTAAAGCCTATTGGTGAAATTCAAGAGTGACTGTAATTTCTGTCCAAGAGATTTTCACAATCTGTTAATCACAGTGATATTTATGGGCTAAATCATAATCATCATGGTCTCTCGAATGTTTATATTAGCAAACTCTCAACAGTAGGAGCTGTCACTCATCCACCATGTTTTTTCTGCATGTTCCTGTCCGAGTAGTTACGAACTTTCCACGGTATGCAAATTCTGTTCACGTGGAAGCAGCGCTGGCAGGTGTGGAAACTAAAATGATCATGAACCTTCGTGTGTCGTAATTCCACAAAGTATATGACCCAGATTTGCGACTGTGATAGCTGTGGATAATTAAGCTTTTTCACAAGCCAGAACTCCTTAAGCTTCACTGTGGAGCCAGGGTTTTTCTTGCACCAACAGTCTCTTCTTCCTTGCTGTGTTAGGATTCCAGTTTGTGTGGGGTTTTTTTTGTGTTTTCCTCTCTCCACCACCAGCCGTGCCCTGTCCTCGTTGGACCTCCCTACACACCTGCGGCTCGTTAGGTCATTACCAGAGGAGTATTTGAGCAGTGGGCTGTCACCACCTCGATGCCAGAGTGTTTGCCAGTATTGGGTACTCTAGCCAAACTGAGATTAGCAGAGTCTAACCTTAGCATTGTTTCCCTGAGTCTGAACTTTTTTTTTTGTCTTTGACCTTCGGCAGGAAGACTTCCTGTGTTACGGGATAAGCCTGGACCTTCTACCCCTGGAAGGATTTACTGAGTCTCACTGAGCAAGGGGAAAACCTCCACATGATCCGTTCAAGTCCACTCCTGGAAAACCAAGTGACAGCCCGCTCCTTTACTCCTCTGGGTCCAACGTATGTCTGCCTGTCCGCTCTCTAACGGGTTCCCTCTTCTCTGGATTAAATCCAAGGATAAACCAAGAGCCCCCCAAAAGTGAGTGCCTCTCCAGCATTATTCAAGCCTCAGTCTATTCTCCCACTGTCCCTGAATTGATCACTGTGATCTCCCCTTCAGAGTTTCCGGTTCCGGTTCAGCAGTCCGTTAAGTTCCAGCATTGTTTCCCCACTGAGTTTCAGTCTCCATCAGTGTTTGCTAACCTACAATAAACCTGTTAAACTTTTACTCTTGGTCTCTGAGTGATTCTCTGCATGTGGGTCAGATCTTTAAAGCCCATCATGAAATGCTGCTTTTTGTTCTTATGCTACTGTGGCATTGTTCTTCTCCTGTACCACTAGCAACGGTGTATTTTGTAAGCAATAAAGTGCTGTTGTCAAAGTTAAACTTTGAACACTGCGAACACGCAAGCTCGCAAAGAGGTGTACTGTGCTTCCACTTCGCTCGGCGAAATGATAAACCATGCTGCTCAAGCTGTCACTAGCCGATCCGTCCCGGAAGCATGATCCGTACCATCGGCTCATATGTGCAACCAGATAAACATCCGGGTAACACAGGAAATTAATGCTAATAATTACATGAATTATATGTACAGGTGTGTATTAGTAGAATGCTAATACACACCTTTAAAAATTTTTGATGCTTTTTCTAATTTTCTCTGTTTATTAAATTGCTTTTGTGACGTCATCATCGGACATGGCCAGAGCAGTCCGGCAAAATATGATTAAACCATGTTTATCTTTATTTTAGTTGTTTGTTTCTTTAGTTTCCGCACTATATGCCATAATGAAAACACAAAAAAGAAACATAAACCTCAAAAAGACTAGATTTATGTTTAAATCCAAAGCCAAAAAAGTTAACTCCTGGAAGTAGCGTAGGATCCCATTTCCTGTACAGATCGGGCAGAGAGTGATAAAACAGGATTTTAAGGCATTTATTTTCTCGGAAAACACATTATTAACCTTTAACACATTATAGTTAAGTACTCTTACTATTTTTGGGGAGATAAAAACACAATTTAGGTCTTTTTAACAAATTCTCAGAACCATTTATCTGATCCACCTGCTTCAGTGTCTACTTAACCAGCCTTCAACCAGTCATCAGTACCAGATTATTCAAACCTTTGGTGAGAGTTCTCTGGCATTCCTGTGTTTTCTGATTGCCTGATTCTGACCTGTTCTGCCGCTGAGCCTTCCTGTTCCCGTTCTGATCTGTTTGCCTGACCTGTCTTCAGACTCCTACTGGATTCTGCCTGTTTACCGAACCTGGAACTGTTTCCTGACACTGTCCTGAATTTCCCATCGGTACTTCTTCGGATCTCTGATCTCCTGGCCCGGACTACTGAGCACGTCCTTGATACCAGCTTTGGCTTTGCCCCCTTGATTATCCTGCCTTCCATCGTCTGCTTGGATCTGGTCTACTGCCTGTCCTCCAATCTCCAAGACATCAGCGTTGGCAGCGTCTTGTTGGTAGCCTACCCAGCCTGATCCTCTGGGCTCGGACTGAACTATAAGACCAGGGCTCTAACCAGTTGTCTCCTTCTGCAGAGGTTTCTGCCTTAGACGCCGACTCTGTTCTCCCAGATTCCGTAATGAAAAAATGTTTTATTAAATCTATCTCTCTTTCCGCCTCGAATACTGGGTCCTTTTATTCGGAGCCTGACAAAAAATAAGAACTCTTAATTTCAGTAAAACATCTGGCCTTGCAGCTGAAGAGTCAGCCAAAAAGAAAAACACAAAGAAACAGATACCTGAGAAGATGAAACTTCTGCAGCCAGAGGATGGGACAGGAAGAGAAGAACAGATAGACAGCAGCCTGCTGGAAAGAAGAAGGAGTGAAAGGGAAAAAGGAGAGAGGACCAGAGAGGCGAAAAACAGAAGAAGAAAAGTAAAAGGGAACAGAAAGGGGAGAAGTGGAGAAGAGGGAAAAGAAGGACAGCAAGCTGAGGAGAGGAGGGGGTTACCGGTACCGGTACTCCTGCAGCCATGGCAGACAGCAGTTTTTGTCTCCATCTGTCCTTCCCTGTCACTGTCCCGTCCTCCTGCTTTTCTGGCTACGAGACAGAGGGACGTGTCAAAAACAAACACAACATGCAAATACACTGTAAACACCACTTCAAAGCAGCCAATAGGAGGACTGCTTAGATGTAAAGCATCCACTAACCATCCTGCTCACTGGGCATGGTTTGGAGGATGAATATGGCGCTTTATCTATAGAGTGAATTTTGTTAGTGTGTGTTAGTCGCCATGAAAGAACATGTTTTTTAAATGAATAAAAAATAAAAAACACATTTTGTAATTCGAAAACTTGAAAAAAAAATGAAACTTGGAAAAATGTCATGATCAAAACAGGTATTGGAAGTAAATTGTAAATAAAATCAGTTTTTTTTAGAATTTTTTCTTTTTATTAAATGTTAATTTAATTTTTCAGCTTTTTTCCTTTGGGTTTATTATTATTTTTTTTATGTTCTGTTTTTTCAGATAGAGTTTTACAAACTTCTTTTTGCGGATCACATTCTGTTCACTTGAAGCCAATATTTGCTCTTTATATTCATGCTAAAATAAAAATGCTAAAAGTTGCTAACATCCATTAGGACCAATGGAAATGCGTCCAAGTGGAAGAGATCTGTAAAACGCAATTTGAAAAGAATAAAATTAATAAAACTGTAATAAAAAATGAGAAATAAAAAAAAATTAATATATTTAAAATATGAAAAAAAAAATCAATAAATTAAGAAAACAAAGTTACTTATAAAAACCTTTTTTGTGTTAAAATATTTTTCAAAGTTTCTTTTCTGGATTGTATTTTTTTTTTTTTTTTATGTTTTTTGCAATAATAATGGAACAAACTTCACCCAATACAGGTCCAGCTGAGAGGCCAATAGATGACAAATACTTTACCATATTGTAAAAGAAGCAGGTATTAAACCAAAACAAGATAGTCTAGACTCTTCTGGGTTTATGCTGCTGTGTTTTATTTCTTTCTCAGACTCACTGTGATGGTTGCTGCCAGCCATCTGTCGCTGCTGTGAGTGTGAGTCAAACCACAGGGCCCAGCATAACTGATGCCGTGATTATACTACTAAACCTGTCATTAGAGTATCATGCTAATATTGGCAAAACAAACTGGAGACCATCTGGATATTCAGGAAGGATCCGAATCCTCAGTTGGAGCTCATGTTGAGCAAAGTGAAAATGTAACACTTTCAGTGCTTTTCAAAGGTATTGAAAATCATTACACCTTTTCAGAATTTACCAGGTTACAACTACAACCATATGTACTTTTTAGCCACCAGGAGGCGCTGGACCTCTACCATCCAGGTTAAGCGCCCCCTAAAGGCCACTGATAGCACTGCTCTGAATGAACCAGTCTACCTCAGCGCTTTGGGATCTGATAGCAGGCAACTTTGGTAGTTTATCAACTAATCAAGTTACATGTGAAGACAAAGAAACATTTCCTCGTAGCAACTACTTTTAGCTTAGTTAGTTATCGTGTTCAATGGTGGATAGTCATTATTTATCCAGATGAATCATAAAAGCATTGTTTTCACCGAGCGTCTGTCCTGAATAGTCTTTAGTACGACTAAGTATTATTATGGCCAGGTTGGAGATTTTTTTTATTTTTTTTATTTTGAGAATAAAGTCGTAACAATACGAGAAAAAAAGTTTTAGTGAAGTAAGTGCTTCTTGTGAGAGTTGTCATAAAATATAACTCGTAATTTTAGGACTTTATTCCGTTATATTACGACTTTATTCTTGTAATTTTATGACTTTGTTCTCATAATTTTACGACTTTATTCTCTTAATATTACAACTTTATTCTCGTAATTTTACGACTTTATTCTTGTAATGTTACGACTTTATTCAACTAATTTTATGACTATTCTCGTTTTGACTTTTTTCTCGTAATATTACAACTTTATTCTCGTAATATTACAACTTTATTCTCATAATTTCTCCAGCTTTATTCTCTCAATTTTATGACTTTATTCTCGTAATAAAGTCGACTCCAAAGGCTGTCAGTTTGACGGTTCTGAGATTTTGAAGTGAAAGAGCTTTATTTACATTAATCTTATGTTGGTCATATTAAGTGCTTTTTTCTTTTTCTATATTTCCTTCCTTTTCACTTTATTTTTTAAAAATCAAATAAAAAACATAAAAATAAATATGGTTAATTTTACCTCAATCTCCCACAGCCTTCATTGTGACGGCTCTATTCGTGACATTCTAAATTCGTCCCGCGGATGATTGACGTTCGGTATGGTTGCCAAGCAACCAACATTCTATCAAGATATCTCTGGAACTCTTAGGCTAATACGGAGAAATCTAACAGCGAAACAGGCTGAAAAAACACTTCTAAAATACTGATGACACATGCGCTCCAGAGAGCCACAAGTACCAATCATTCTGCAGAAGTAGAGCAAACTTTGGCGCGGTAAAGAAAACAGTGCCAGGTGTGTCAGCTCTGCTCAAAAAAATGCCTTTATGATGTTTCTGATACATACGAAAAGGTGATGTGCAGGAAATGTGTGGGAGGAATCTATCAATTTCTGTAAATACAATTATAATTTAAAACTTTGAACCTGCGTAGTAAACAAGTCTTATTCATTTTACAGATGTATTTTTAATACAAATTTATTCTATAAAAAACAATATCATATAATGCCGCCTTTGAGGTCCATATATCCACAATGGGTTTATATGACACACTAGTCAATGACATCATCACTACTCTTGCATTCCATTGGGAAAAATGTCACCTGTAAAATTGGCTGTCAGTGGGATTTCTAGTAGTATCAGAATTCTGGAAATCCTAGTGTTAAAACTATTGGTGGCCATGGATTCATTTGTTTAATCTAGATTAATCTCACTGTAATCTTGGAATTAATTTAGATTAATCTAGATTTAAATGGCTCATTTGAATGTTGCCAAAGGGCATCATGAATCTGTGTCAGAATTGCTTAAATAATCCCTTGCAGGAAATTGTTTATTTGCAGTGCAAAAATTTACAGAAGAGAGAAAAATAAGATTGTAAATACAAGTAAGATATAGGCAAGGAGCTCATGTCATGTTTCCAAACTTCTTGACAAAGCTTTGATAACTGGTGATGAAAATAAATCATATTCAATAGATATATTTGTGTCTAATAAGTGTTTATTCAGATAAACAGGAATACTGTAGGCCTACGTAATAGGCAATGATGAACTGTTTACAGTCAGTCAGCCAAAGCTCTATTTTTCCTTTTTCCACCAGTCACTCAGGCAGTCATTGTAATGTCCTGTGAGGCTGGAGTAGCAGCAAGGGCTGCTGGGTAATATCAAGATGGGGAAAACATCACCATTTTATCCTAGTTTTGTGTTAAACAGGGTTGTAATGTCTGTAGTCTGTTCATGCTAAGCTAACATTAGGTTCTGGAGGTTGCAGCTGTAAGTGTTAACATTGGCACCATCGGAGAAATGTTTCATTAGTTTGTTATAAGGGAACAATCATACCCTAGATTAAGTGTTGCATAAATAAATAGGATCGCTGCTGGAGCTTGATTACATTGTGAGTAACTTGCTGGCAAACAGGCTGCAATATCAAAGAAAAAATCATTATTAGTATATAAACTCAACTCCCAATCTGACTTTGAGAATAGATGATAGAATTGATAGAGGCATTTCACCAGTTTGACTAATTGCTTCAACGATCCCCACAGTTCCTGAAGCTTCATGTGAACATGTCACCACCTACTGGTGGAAAGCAGAACTACAGTTAATAATATAGTCTGATTTTTTGCAATTGTTTTTCTTGTTTTCTTCCCATATAAGTTCCTTTGAAATTGTTAATGATTGGTCTGTATAATAAAATCTTTTGTATTGTTAATGTGTAACATGTCTTAGAATGGAAAATCACTGTTTTTCTGCCATTTTAGTGAAATAAGCTCAAACAGACAGTAAAAGCATTTGTGCAAATGGGCATCGATGAACAAAATGAAAGGTTTTAGTTTTTTTATTCAATATAATAGTTTTTCCAGAGTTTTGGGTTTTAATCGGGTTGGAAATTATGTGTTCAACCAATCTTTTCGTCAAACCAACCAATGAAACTTTGGCAGTGTTTTTACCCAATCTATATTTGTACTAGGGCAAACCACTACAAATAAGTCACATTAGCTAAAAAAAAAAGCATTATCACAACTTTTAAAAGTCTGATGTAAAGTCTGATGTGGTTCTTGAACCATCAATTTTGATCATTACATTGTTTAATCTAATCAAACTAGTTTAACCAACTAGATTGGTTGTTTTTCCAACCAATCTATTCTTAGAATCTATCCAAACTCTTTCCAACTGACAGCAGCTTTCCTACAAACTCCCACATCTTGACTGAATGCTGATGCTTTAAATGCCTGCCGAAGTTCCGGGCGAGCTGAACCACTTCCTGAAGCGCTCACTTGGTATCGAATGGTAGCGAGGCTTCAGACGTCATCTATTGTGGCTCCTCCTCCAAATGAAGCAAGCCTCAATAAGCACCTTGCGGAAACGCCCCCTCCAGTACTCGACCCACGCCTCAAAGCCTTGGCTCATCTGATAACATCACTAATTAACTGCAGTATTTTTTTTAACAATAAGGTTCTGGCGTCAGTGCAGCACGTTAATGCAGATAACGGCCCACCACCAGTTAAAACATATATACCTCTGTAAAAACTGGCCTATAGTTAAAGTCCAGAGCTGAAGAACTTCCTGTTTTTACTACAGGCAAGAGTGATTTTAAAAGGTATTGATTGAGATTTAAGTAAAACATGGTTTTTGTTTGTTGTTAAAAGGTTGATTGCACAAAATGCAGAATAATTCATTTGCCGACTATTAAGCACTGGTTTGTGTGGCTCGGATGCATTCCAAACGCATCATGTCTTAAAGCCCATATGCACTGAAAAGAAAGAAAACCTTATAAGGAGATCCATACCTCATTCTTTTTCTTCTTCTTCTTCTTCTTTTTCTGCTTCCGCTGCTGTTTCTGCAGGAGAATGGTCTCATACCTTGGCCTGGGGTGCTCCTGATGACAGAGGAGGAGTCAGTGTTGCTGTGCAGGATTTAGCTGCTGCATGTGTACAGTTATGAAATGAGATCCACATGATACAGCAGTGCAGAAGATTCAGTAGCTAGAATTGTGACCCCCTGTACTGTAGATAAATGTCATCAGAGCAAACCACTCTGGTTTAATTGCATCTTACACTTTAGAACATTGTGGAGTGAATTTTGCTCCATTGTTGTTGCAAAGAACAGCTTTTGTAAATAGAAATTGGAGAAGAATCCAGACATGAAACTTTGAAAAACATCATAATTAAAAAAATAGTAATCATTTTTTCAGATTTTTATTCTATTTTTTCAAACTGTATTTTTTTGTTGCTTTTTATTTTACAGAATTAAAATTTATTTTATTTAATCTCTCTTTTTCAGATTGAGTTTATGTGAAAACAATGCAATACACAAGACTCAAACAGAAAAAGACATAACAAATACACTTAAAAACAAAAACTGAATAAAAAAAAAAAGAAAATAGCAATAATCTGCGTATCATTCAGTTTTCTATTTCAAACCAACAATGAAAATACGGGAAAAGTCCTTTTTTTAAATTTCGTATTTTAAAATAATATAGATAGAATTCAACTTTTCCTTACTGCTTTGAATATAAAGGAAATGGATAACAATGAGTTGAAGAATATACGGTACGGCTGAACAGCTGATTAGATTTATTAAATACAGCCACCAGTGTTTAGCAGGCGGCGGTAAGAGCATTAATAAACATGAGATCATATAAGACCCCAAAATAAAGCAAACAACAAAATGGAATGCTTTAGTACGGCAACTGAAAATCTAAAAAAGAAAGGATTACAAGAAAAAAATTTTTTTGTAATTTCATATATTACTTTCAAAGTGAAAAACAAACAAAGAAATGATACAAGGAGTAGTATCAATTCATTTCAAAGCATGTCATGATTTAATTTCCATTTACAATAAATTTGCGTTGTTTGCAACAATTGTGTTACAAATTTCACTCCATACCTTTAATGATCTGGTATTTCACGACTCTATGTACAGTATGAATATCTATAGCTGATGAGTTATGTGGCTTTATGTAACTTTAATTATTTTTACCTCGTCCTCCTCAATCCCAGTCAGATCCCAGCTGAAACTCAGGCTGATCTGTCGACGCTTCCAGTGCTCCAGGAATAACACCGCTACACAATCAGACAAACACAGGACCTTAGCACCAGTCACATCCATGAGAGCAAACCAAACTGTTCGCTATAGAGCAAAAAAATATTCTGCTGATTAAAAACAATGTTAGAGATTGTCATTCAAAAAAAAAAAAGTCTCATCATTCATATGGATAAGCCTAAAATGATGGCAGATTTAGATTTGGCAAGTTTGTTTTTGAAAGGAAAGGATACAAGCATATCTCCAAGTATCATGAAAAACTTTAAAAAGAGTATTTTAATTCTTATTTTATTATTTTTTTTATTTAAAAAATATCTTATAACAGTTCTACTTTTATATAATTTTCAAACTAGTTTTTGATTGTTTAATGAAAACAATCTTGGAAATTAAATTAGTTTAATCTGCCATCTTAGGAGCCTTACACGAGTCTATGTGGTTAAAAGTAAAACCAAAACCTCTACATGACAGTTCACCAGCTAAAATAAATATAAACACATCATTGGACGATAAATAAATGTTTTATCGGACTGTAGCTTCATCACTGAATCTTTTATTAGAGCTCAGTACAGCCTCAACATCAGATATGAAGAATTTTATTTTCTATGTAACTTAAAATTCTTAAAACAGTTGATGCCATGAATTAAAGCCACTATAACACGGCTGGAACCTTGGAACAGAAACAGGCCCGCAGCATCACAAGTCAAGCAACAAGCTGAGAGTAGTGTGTTTAGTACATAAACATATGGAGTGAACTTTGTTCCATCATTGTTGCAAGCAAAGAACATGTATTCATAATGAAAATTTGAAGAAAAAATTGCGTTCAGAAATAAAATATAACTTCTTAATAAAAAAAGGTTTGAGAGTAAGTTCTCTGTTTACCCAGATTTTGTTTTCTTTTTCATTCTTTTTAAGGTTTTACATTTTCAAATATTTAGAATATCTTTTTGTCACATTTAGTTTTACAAATTGCATAAATAGGGTTTTCCGGATCACATTTTCTATACTTCTGGGGGCGAGTAGTCCTCTGGAAAGAGGAATAAAGACGCATTTATATTGGTGTGCATGGACATTAGCAACAACATTTTGATTGGTCAAGAGCAAGTGTTGAAGTGAAGAAAATATGATTTGAGAAACAAAATTGGAAAATAAAGCAATTACAAATCAGACTAAAAAGAGAAATAAAAAAACTAAAGCTTTTAAGAAAAATAAAGTAAAAAGAAAAAAAAAGGTGAAAAAAACATTATTACTGAAAAAATATAATTAAAAAAGTTCCTCCTAAAACAATTTTTTCTATGAATTTATTCAAAGTTTCATTTCTTTTATTTCCATTTACAAAATGTGTTCTCTGCTTTCACCAATAATGGAACAAAACTCACTCCATAGCCTCAATCTTAGTCTTACTGCTTCAAAATATAAAAATGTATATCTTACCCTTATGTAGCATGTTAGCTAATACTAATTGGCAGGTAAGTTAGCAGTTGCTAACTAAAACCTTGTTAAAATTCTGTTTCTCTCAAAGTTTTTCTCACAGAGAAAAGAAATAATATTTTAAAATTATAAAAAATTTTTAAAACTCATTTTGATATAATATATTGCGAAATACATAAAAATAAAAATACATCTAAATATTAATAAATACATATATACTAAAATTAATATATTAAAAATATACATTGTGATATCAGTTAATAAATAAAATGAAATGAATAAGCTAAATATTCTGTTGTAAATACATGTCTTGTATTATTAAATTAAGAAACCTATTTATTTTTTGCAGTATTTATTGCGAATTTATATCTAGGGGTCCTGCTATGGTTTGGATGTAGAGCCCATGACCTATTAAATGACCTCCCAGGTTTGAGCCCCGGTCTTACTGACCTTTGCCGAATGTCTCTCCCCTCTCTTGTAACACACTTTCCAGTCTACATACTTTCAAAAATAACTAAATAAAGTCCATTAAAGCCTAAAATAAAAAAATAAAAAATTTATATGTAAAAGTATTTTTTTTAGTACACTCAGTTTTGTGTATAACCTTTCGTTCTAGTTCCATCAGATCCAAATCTCTGTGAAAAATGATGATCTAACTCACAGAGTTTATTTACAAACTGGTGATCTTGCTTTTGGAGAAATGGCTTCTTCCCCCCTGAGCGTCTTTTCAGTCCATGTAAGTACAAGACTAATTTCATAGTGGAAATGACACAAGCATATAGTATGTAAACCTCAGATTTTTGGAAAGTGTATTTCTTTACAAATTTGAACTGCAAATAAATTGTAAATTTTGAGCTCCATTACAATCCTGAAACCTTCCGGCGTGTGCGGATTTGTTGTCCGAAGTGTCTGCCCTCTTCAGGTGAGACAAACCTATAAGATATTAATGATCACCTTCACATTCACCCCTGTTTTTCTCTCCCTCTCACTCAAACACAGGCACACTCAGGTAAACCCGAAACCTTACCCCACAGAGACATAAAGATGGCGAAGAAGACAGTGGCGGGGTTATCAAAGAGGTGCGAAGCCCGGGCGGTGCCGCAGGCGGTGCTGAGGTGCCAGTAGTCACAGGCGCCGTCGCACAGAGGACACATGGTGAAATTGAGACGCTCATCGCACATCTCCAAACTGTCAACGGGAGAGGGAGGGAAGTAAACTTCAGCAAGGGGAGCTACAGGTGCTGGTCATAAAATTAGAATATCATGAAAAAGTAGATTGATTTCAGTAATTCCATTTAAAAAGTGAAACTTGTATATTATATTCATACATTACATACAAACTCATATATTTCAGATGTTTATTTTGTTTAATTTTGATGATTACAAATGACAACAAATGAAAATCTCAAATTCATCATATCAGAAAATTAGAATATTGTGAAAAGGTTCAAAATTGATGGCCCCTGGTGCCACACTCTAATCAGCTAATTAACTCAAACCACCTGCAAAAGCCTTTAAATGGTCTTTCAGTCTAGTTCTATAGGCTACACAATCATGGGGAAGACTGCTGACTTGACAGTTGTCCAAAAGACGACCATCGACACCTTGCACAAGGAGGGCAAAACACAAAAGGTCATCGCTAAAGAGGCTGGCTGTTCACAGAGCTCAGTGTCCAAGCACATTAATAGAGAGGCGAAGGGAAGGAAAAGATGTGGTCGAAAAAAGTGTACAAGCAAGAGAGATAACCGCACCCTGGAGAGGATTGTGAAACAAAACCCCTTCAAAAATGTGGGGGAGATTCACAAAGAGTGGACTGCAGCTGGAGTGAGTGCTTCAAGAACCACCACACACAGACGTATGAAAGACATGGGTTTCTGCTGTCGCATTCCTTGTGTCAAGCCACTCTTGAACCACAGACAGCGTCAGAAGCGTCTTGCCTGGGCTAAAGAGAAACAGGACTGGACTGCTGGTGAGTGGTCCAAAGTCATGTTGTCTGATGAAAGTAAATTTTGCATTTCCTTTGGAAATCAAGGTCCCAGAGTCTGGAGGAAAAGAAGAGAGGCACTTCATCCACGTTGCTTGAAGTCCAGTGTAAAGTTTCCACAGTCAGTGATGGTTTGGGGTGCCATGTCATCTGCTGGTGTTGGTCCATTGTGTTTTCTGAGGTCCAGGGTCAACGCAGCCACATACCAGGAAGTTTTAGAGCACTTCATGCTTCCTGCAGCTGACCAACTTTTTGGAGATGCAGATTTCATTTTCCAACAGGACTTGGCACCTGCACACAGTGCCAAAGCTACCAGTACCTGGTTGAAGGACCATGGTATCCCTGTTCTTAATTGGCCAGCAAACTCTCCTGACCTTAACCCCATAGAAAATCTATGGGGTATTGTGAAGAAGAAGATGCAATACACCAGACCCAACAATTCAGAAGAGCTAAAAGCCACTATTAGAGCAACCTGGGCTATCATAACACCTGAGCAGTGCCACAGACTGATCGACTCCATGCCACGCCGCATTGCTGCAGTAATACAGGCCAAAGGAGGCCCAACTAAATACTGAGTGCTGTACATGCTCATACTTTTCATGTTCATACTTTTCAGTTGGCCAACATTTCTATAAATCCTTTGTTTTTATTGGTCTTCAGTAATATTCTAATTTTCTGATATGATGAATTTGAGATTTTCATTTGTTGTCATTTGTAATCATCAAAATTAAACAAAATAAACATCTGAAATATATGAGTTTGTATGTAATGTATGAATATAATATACAAGTTTCACTTTTTAAATGGAATTACTGAAATCAATCTACTTTTTCATGATATTCTAATTTTATGACCAGCACCTGTAGATGTGAATGTTAATATGTGAAAGTGTGATTTCAATCCCTGCAAAGAAGACTCTGAGATGTTCATGTCTCTAACATGCGTGTACAAGAAATGAATGGAACTTTTAACTCCTAACGACCACAGAAGCTTTTGTACCTTGACCCTATTCATAGTCAGTGTGGGCTGAATCCATGACACTCACGCACACACCGCCAGCCGTGCTTTCTGTGTACCTCCCACACAGCCGTGACTAAAGCCAGATACAGCAGGTATCTGGGCAATCCCTGTCTAGTGGATGTGTGAGTGTGGATTGTGAATATGAGCAGAGTGAAACAAGGTAGGAGAGAAATCCTCATTTTCAGCTTTCTAGTATTTTACAGTAAACCCCTCTTATTTCCATAAATGTGCAAGAGCACGACTAGAGATTTCAGCTGCAGCGTTCTGCAGCAGGTACCTGGGTATATTGGTGTCCACGGTCGCCACCCCGTATCCAAACACAATGATTCCCACTATGGAGGCCGGTATGAGCAGCTGAGTGTAAACACCGAGCCATGCAAAATACAGGCCGATCTTCTCCCCAAAGTATTTCCTGAGAAAACAAGACAATGCAGTCACGACATCAGAGTGAGGGATGAGTTTGCAAAGCCTGGCATGGGTGATTGTGTTAGATATTACTGCAGTGAGTCTGGATGGACAGTCTGACAAATGTAAAATGTAACAAGGAACAACTTATGCCGGGCATACACTGTACCATATTTGCCCTTTTTGGGAGGACTTTCCAGTCGTGCAAGAATTTTTAGATGGGGTCGACTTTCAGCCTGGTCGTGCGTTGTGCAGTGTACAGGGGGTAACGAGGGGCGATCAGCCTCTTACGACCACCTCCTGATCAGGATTTGTGAGGTGGGGAGAAAATATAATGTGTTTGAAATTCATTCAGCCATCGTAAGGTGGCCGTGGGCAAATCGCTCGGTGGGCATGCACAAACAAGGATTTTTCTTCTTCTTTTTCCTCTCAGATGAAAACGTTTGCTCATCCATGTCTTTTTCCAAAGACGTCTTCGCCTTTTCTTTTTAGGGCTTTTAGCACAAAATTACACAAATTGCCAAGGCAGAGCGTTTCACTCTAGTAAGCTTCATATTCCTCTTCTACTTGTTTGGCTTCCGGATAGACGAGTCCAAGTAGCGCCATCTCACTGCGGAGCTGAGTCCGACATTGTTTTTAGACGTACAGTGTGAGCAGGTAGATCGCATCAGAGCGTCGGGTCGCACAGTGTGAGGACATACTGTACATTGTGAGCTGTGAACTCACACTGTACGACGAAAGTGTGAATGTAGCTGCGTGCAACGATCGAAAAAATTGCACTGTATGCCCGGCTTTAAGTGTCTTAAAGATGTTGCCCTTTAATCAAGATGCCTTTTTTAGTTGAAAACAAGAATAAGTTAAAAGCTTATTATGTATTCTGAATAGTCACAGAAAATTAGCTGTAAAGGTCCCACTCTCCCTGACTTTGACAGAGATTAAAGGCAAGGCTAGAGATTTTTTTTTTTTTTTGAGAATAAAGTCGTAACATTACGAGACTAAAGTTGTAATATTACGAGAATTAAGTCATCATACAACAACATGTTTCAGAAAGAAAGCTTCGTGCTCCGACCAGCAGATGATGGCCGACCAGCTCCACCAAACAGCAACCTGAGTCCACATTTACAAACTTCCCAATTTCATGCTGGTGCTAAAAGATTTCCTTATTTGTCAAACCAGAGCCAAAGTATAGCTTCACATAATGCTTGAAATTCCTAATTTTAGGGAAGAAGGTGCTTCTTGTAAGAGTTGTCATAAAATACAACTTTGTTCTCGTAATTTTATGACTTTACTCTCGTAATTTTACGACTTTATTTTCGTAATTTTATTACTTTCTTCTCGTATTTTTGCGACTTTATTCTCGTAATGTTACAGCATTATTCTCAAAATAGAAGAAAAAAAAAATCTCAGTCATACCCTTACTGTATTTAAAGGGATAGGACTGTTTAAGAAGTGCCGCATGTCACTTTGAGGGTAAAACCAACCCGAGAAAGTTAACTGCCTGCGATTCGTGGGTATTAAGTAAATCCTGCCTCTTGAGACAGAAATGTTTTCTTCCAACTAGCGACTAGTAACGTTAGCAAGCATCTTCAGCCTAACAGCTGTTCTCTTAAGCCTCTTTCTAACTGAAAATAGCAGGTTAATAAGGGTTTTTCAAGCATGGGTTGACCAGCTAACAGTTGGTTAACAGCTAACAGTTAACATATTTAGTTACTTTAACACAATTGTTTCATGTTAGCAGGGTAGGACATAAAACAGTTGTGTTAAAGTAAATAAATATAATTAAGTAAATGTCAAAAGCGTTTGCATTATTTTTTCCAGTGTAGGGTGTAGTAAGTGTTATTTATTGCCTTGCTCTTTTATCTGTCCAAATTCTTCTTACCAGTGCATCATTATGTTTATTGAATGTAAACATTTGTTTCGGTTTTTTAGATCAGAAGCGTCTGGCGCGGTGTGTTGACGTCTGTACCTAGCATTCAATAGTGTCACTTCTGAGTCGTTTGACCCAGGTAGACATGCGTCAGTGAGCTGTTCCCACTGCCACTAAAGCCGATTGTTCCCGGGTTTAAACAGGTTTTTGGGCCAGTGGGAAAGGGGTTTTATAGAGTTCAAATATGATTCAGTGGAGTCATCATTAAATAATTTAATTTAACTCAGTCATGGAAATGATCTGACAACCGTAGCAATATAATCTAAAATAATCAAATTTGGAACTTTGGAAATTGTAAATTTGGAACTTTATAAGAGCTACACTTACATTAGCATCAGTGAAATTAAGTCTTGAATGAACACAGACATTTCCAATTGCAGCTACTGTTAAGTATTTTTTTCTTTGACTGAGTACAAATAATCAGTCAATGATTGAGATGGCTGTTGGATATCAAGTAAGAACTAAAATACTTAAAATGTTATCCTGAAAATGCTTTGCTATGTTACTAGCCAGAAGCAGGAAGAAAATAGGCAGTTTACTTTATCAGATTGGTTTAATCCTCCGTGCCAAAAGTCGACATGAGCGCACAGAAAAACGTCCACAAGGTAGTAGGAGAGGATCTACTCTATTTTTCATGACCTTTATGTTTTAATTTTGTACCTGAGTATTTAACATCATCTGTGTCATTGCTTCCTCTCCTTTTTCCTTATGTCTAGATGGTATGTCTCACATACCTGAAGCTAGAAACCTGAACATCACTGAAAAATAAACATTAAAGATTAACGATTAAGAAGATAATTGTCCTTTGTGTAATTAAATATGCATTGACTGACTCTCCTTTTTGTTTTCTAAAACCAGAGATTTATATAAAGGGTCATAGTTAGATAGTCCACCTCCTTCCAGGTAGAATAAGATGAAACATCTACATAGGAGTATTTTTTGCTGTTCTTTATGGCGACATTACCTGACCAGATCAATGGGCTGATACTTGTAGAAGGCTGAGTATCTTGCCCACTCTTCGAAAAGAACCTGACAATGCACACACAAAGGGAGAGAGAGAGAAAAGCATTCAGAGTCAAGTCCAATGTGGGTGTGTGTCGTCATTAAAGTTGAAAAATTTTTGGTTTTTTTCAGAGGCACAGCTGATCTGGAGGCAGGAACATTCTGATTGGTCCAAACAAAACCTCAGAGGAGATGAGCCATAGAGCTGCAGTGTAAGTAACTCTATCCTGAAGACAAGTGAAACCCAGTAAGGTAGGAGGAAGACTGTATTAAAAGAAAGCCTGACAGGAACAAGGTGTGGGGTGAAACCAGAACGATCAGAGGTGCACACATGAAAACCTTTGGAGAAATTATTATTGTTCACGACTGAAGAATGAGATAAAGATATTACTGTTTCAGAAGAGAGCAAAATTAAGACATTGCAGAATATTCTATTCCAAGAAAAGCAGCCTGATAGCATGAGGGCATTCATCACTTTTATTTATGGTATATAAAATATACAAATATATTTATACACAGTAGTTCAATTAAAATAGTATTTTGAAACCATCCAGTGTCTTAAAATGATCAATGTAGAAAAAGTGTTTTTATTGTTCAAAGATGAAAAAGGTCTGAAATTTTGCATAACTGCACTTCAACCATGAGAGACAAAATGAGAAAGATATTATTTTATTACAATTATTATAATATTATTTATAATTTTAATTAGATTATTGTATTTTTAAAGAAATGATTTGTAAATCATTGTGGAAAAATAAGTATTTGGTCAATAATAATACTTTGTGTCATAACCTTTGTTTCCAGTCTTTACCAGGTTTGCTGTAGCACCGTAGCTGCTATTTCTGCCCATTCCTCCATCAAATCTTTACAACAGTGATCTTTCGGGGCTGTCATTGGAAAACTTTCAAGCTCTTCACAAACCAAAGTCTAGAGACTAGCTGGGCCACTCCAGGATTCTGAAATACTTTTGACAGAGCCACTCCTTTGTTTTCCGATTGATGTGTTTGAAATCTTCTCCTGCTGGAAGACCAGGCCACCTTCCATCTTTGAAATACTTTTCACAAAACAACTCCTTTGTTTTCCGATCAGTGTGTTTGAAACCTTCTTCTGCTGGAAGACCACGCCACCTTCCATCTTTGAAATACTTTTCACAGAACCACTCCTTTGTTTTCCGATCAGTGTGTTTGAAACCTTCTTCTGCTGGAAGACCAGGCCACCTTCCATCTATGAAATACTTTTCACAGAACCACTCCTTTGTTTTCCGATCAGTGTGTTTGAAACCTTCTTCTGCTGGAAGACCAGGCCACCTTCCATCTATGAAATACTTTTCACAGAACCACTCCTTTGTTTTCCGATCAGTGTGTTTGAAACCTTCTCCTGCTGGAAGGCCAGGCCACCTTCCATCTATGAAATACTTTACACAGAACCACTCCTTTGTTTTCCGATCAGTGTGTTTGAAACCTTCTCCTGCTGGAAGACCAGGCCACCTTCCATCTATGAAATACTTTTCACAGAACCACCCCTTTGTTTTCCGATCAGTGTGTTTGAAACCTTCTCCTGCTGGAAGACCAGGCCACCTTCCATCTATGAAATACTTTTCACAGAACCACTCCTTTGTTTTCCGATCAGTGTGTTTGAAACCTTCTGCTGCTGGAAGGCCAGGCCACGTTCCGTCTTCATTAATCCACTGTCCCCTTTGCAGAATAAACATCCCCAAAGCATGATGGTTCCATCTCCATGCTTCACAGTAGGCGTTCTTTGGATTCAACTCAGCATTTTTCTCCCTCAAAACACGACTGTTTTGGTTTCAACTGACTTCACCTTATAGGACAGGATGTATGGAGTCGCTCTGGGCGTAGTGTGTTACAGATGGAAGCCTTTGGTTCCAGCTCTCTGCAGGTCATTCATAAGGTCCATCCCTTTAGTTCTAGGACTTTGGCTCATCATTCTCACAAGAGTTTTGACCCGAGATCCAGGAAAATTTTCAATAATTGTTAATTTTCTTCCAAATTCTTCCACAACTGATTTCTTGTCTTCCTGATATCCTCCAACAGCTTTTTGGTCTTGGCAGTGGCCATATTTTCCAACTAAATTCCTAAAAAAGGGCAAAGTTACTCTCAAAACCTTCTTTGATTCAAAGGTTTTTTCAAAGTTTTGAGTGAAGATTGCACATTTTATTTAAAATTTCTATTTACAAAACATATTCTTTGACACAATAATGGAACAATTTCCTTTAGACTTTTCCCTAAAAACGAAAACTTACACAATCATTGGCTCACTGAATAGTTTTTTTGCATTGTTACATTTGAAGTTCAATAATAAAAGCCAATATATAATTCAAAAATATTCTGTTTTACTTGTAAATCTTAATTTGCGCCTTCATCCCGTTCTGTTATGTTGTTGTATATTTTGGACAGATTTATTTATCAGGGTTTATTTCCAATCTGGAGTTTCAGTCAATAGTTTACTTTCTCTCAGCCGTCAGAGCAGCTCTGCTTCCGAGGAATGTTTACTGAACTTAAACTCCAATCTGTGCCAGTGTTAGACAGATGGGAAAATGTATGAACGTGGGGGGAAAGGAAAAAAAAAAACTGACAGAAAACAAAACTACTATTGTTTGAAAAATTGGATCTCATTTCAGTTGATCAAGTATCTCACAGGGTGGGCTACAGCGGATCCTGTCAGGGCCGGTTTGGAAAGCAAACCTTGTCAGTTTTAAGTGAAGTTTAGTGTTTCTTTCAGGACACCGACAGATGGAACGGAGGAGGAGTGAAACAGAGGATTAAAAGCCAAACCGCATGAAAGGAAGATCTATGAAAGTGGAGTCGCAGCACCTGTCTGTCGTTGCGCTCCTCCAGGTTTCCAGTGACCTTATAGTCACCCTACGGAGCAAAAAGGGACAAACATGAGCAGAGACAAGAGACAATACCAAAAACACCTCAAAAAGAACCGATCAGGATTCATTCGCTGTAATATTTTAAGAATAACTGATTGATGTCAGTCTGCCAAATAAGTTACAACTTACAATGAAGATAATTTTAATGTTTATACGTCTTTAGATTACAGCATCGTAATAAATGTTGACTGTACGAGCAGAGGCGTGTTTCTGTGTTTCTACTTTTAGCCGTGCTACTTTAACTCTTAACCCTTTAAAGGGCCAGTTAGCGTTTTTGATCACTTGCATACCCCTAACAAATGGAGTCCCGCCCCCCCCCCGTCCCTTAGTCCGGTCTAGAAGCACAAGATCTATATCCAGTCATTCAGCAAAGATACTGCTACATGGCTGTACATCTGATTTTGGCATTTGACCAGATGAGCCCTTGAATGATTTATTACCTACTGGAAATTAAGTCAAAAAATGTTAATAAGCCTACATAATTATATTTCAGGTTTATGAACTAAAAAGCAGAAGTGCCAGTATCAGCATAAATGCCTCTAAGGTTATATTGTACAGAACAAAAATGTGTTTCTTTCACTCTGAGTGTTTTTCATGAATTTCTTATAGAAACACTTTGGTTATTTTTCTTAATATATTCGGACAAGTTCTTGGTTCTTGTTATTACATTGACATTCATTTTTGCCAATAATTTTTTTTTTATGTTACAAATAAGGTCTTGTCCTGGATTCCAATAACACTATTGGCTTGAAACCTTTTATTTTCAAAAGATTTCCAAGAGGGCCCTATAAAGGGTTAAACTGGCATTTTAGGAGATAAAAGCTTTCTAATTAAATGCGTATCTGTGTATGGAGGACCAACTCTGCCATATTTAAAAATAAATACAGAAATAAATAAATGCTCAATAAATGTATAAGCATACAATTAATTGCCAACATAAATACAATAAACAAATAAATGTCAGTATAAATTAAATTATAAAGTGAGACATAAATGTATATAACTCTTAATTAGCTTCTTTATTTATTTGCCTTTATAATATTTACCTTATTTATTTTTTCGTCCTTTATAATCTTCAACTTTATTTTTTAATTACTTATATTTTTAAGTATTTATTTATGTGCATTTTATAATATTTTTGTCTGTTTTATTCTTCCTTTGTATTTTTTTACCTTAGTTATTTCTTTGCCGCTGTTTATTTCTCTCTGCCCTTTTTACATTTCTCTCTGCTCTTTTTACATTTCTCTATGCATTTCTGTCTCATTATGCAAATGAGGAGGGGGTGTGTCCTAGAGAGTCAACTTCTGCTCATTGGTTGGCTTGGCGGCCCATCTTCTTAACTCACAGAGCTCAGAGTACTAAGTTAAATGTTCTCTTTTCTGTTGCTGTTGCTCAATAAAAGTACGTTTTAAGATTATTTGAGGCGAGAACCTTATACTTTTAAGCATCACCATATGGCCCATTCACAGATTTAAGGCGTAATTTAAAAGAAAATGTGACGAACTTGAGAGGATCGCGTCAACCAGCAAAGCTCCGAAGCTGACGGCAGCCAGGTCTAACCACAGCCCATCTGCAGCGGCCCTCTCTCGGAATAGCCGTGTGTGAAGCGTGTTGGTTAGCATTTTACTACATCGGTCGAATCTACAGGAGGAGAGTCTGATGTCGAGTCTGAAGTCATTAGAACTTGAGTAGGGACTTTGCCAAACTTTGCCAAATACAAAAAAAAATCGCCATCATAGCCTGGCTAATGACCTGGCTGCCGTCAGCTTCGGAGCTCCGCTGGTTGCCACGGTCCTCTCAAGTTCGTCACATTTTCTTTTAAATTACGCATTAAATCTGTGAATGGGCTATATGGTGATGCTTAAAAGTATAATGTTCTCGCCTCAAATGATCTTAAAACGTACTTTAATTGAGCAACAGCAACAGAAAAGAGAACATTTAACTTAGTACTCTGAGCTCTGTGAGTTAAGAAGATGGGCCGCCAAGCCAACCAATGAGCAGAAGTTGACTCTCTAGGACACACCCCCTCCTCATTTGCATAATGAGACATAAATGCATAGAGAAATGTAAAAAGGGCAGAGAGAAATAAACAGCGGCGAAGAAATAACTAAGGTAAAAAAATACAAAGGAAGAATAAAACAGACAAAAATATTATAACATGCACATAAATAAATACTTAAAAATATAAGTAATTAAAAAATAAAGTTGAAGATTATAAAGGACAGAAAAATAAGGTAAATATTACAAAGGCAAATAAATAAAGAAGCTAATTAAGAGTTATATACATTTATGTCTAACTTTATAATTTAATTTATACTGACATTTATTTGTTTATTGTATTTATGTTGGCAATTAATTGTATGCTTATACATTTATTGAGCATTTATTTATTTCTGTATTTATTTTTAAATATGGCAGAGTTGGTCCTCCATATCTGTGACATATGATGAAAACTTACAATATTCATGAGAGCCATATTCAAGACTTTAATTATGGGGAACAAATGACAGAACCGATGAGAGTTCCCGGTGAACAGATGGGCTTGTAAAACAGTGAGTTTTGGAAAAATGTTTTAACATCTTTTTTATTTTGTAATCATCCAAAGACCAGACATTCTCTTGATACTGATCCACTGAGGGCTGTAAATCTGTGGGGGGGGATCCTGGGAACAGACACAGTTTGCTTTGGAGCATGTGGTCGTGGAATCTGGAAGACGAGTGAAGAACTAAACATAAGTGATACATTATAAATGTTAGTTTAACTTGGACCCAATTGGACTGATGTGCAGACTGTGGTCTATCTGTTAAAATCCTAAGCAAAAAGACCTGTCATCTTAAAAAAAGTCGAGCATCTGTGGTTTCTCTTTTATTAATATTGTAATGCAACCAATAGTAGGTGATGCAGCAGATTGTAGACAGTAGATTGATGCAGCCTTTTGACTAATCCTTTTGACTAAAAACAGATAAACACGGTGGTTTCAAATTTCACCTGACAGCTCTGAGCATGTTAGATATATAGAAGTAAAAATGTAAATATATCCATTCACTCAACAAAATCAATGCTAGTATTTTATATAATATATTTCAGTATGCTTTAATGGTTTAAGGGTAGAAGTAAAAACTTTAGGTACCCTAATAACATTATTGAATACATTTCTGGGTGCACATATGCAAAAGGGTTGATGGTACGGATCATAGTTCTGGTGTAGACCTGGTAGTGATAATGTTTATAATGTGAAATGTTTTTAAAGATTTAATAGCTCTGTCCCATATCTGGCTAATATATATATATATTTTTTTTTTTTCCAGCACTAGTGGCTCATTTTTATGGACAGTAGGCTGACAAGAAAGGGGGTACGAGAGAGGGGGAGAGATACCAGGAAAGGACCACAGGCCAGATTTGAACCCAGGCCTCCATACATGGGTTGTGTGCACCAACCACTGCACCACCAATGAAAGCCCAATCTGATCAAATATTAGCAGGCCTGGCAACCTGAGTCCATAACTTACTGGCCAGAGAAGTGGAACTTATAGCCTTTACCATTAATTTAATTTAGCTAACAAATTTACAATTAATGATACGATTTTCGATCTATACAATTTAAACATCACAGATTTTCACATTTGTGACATTTATCTCAAAACAGCGTAAAAAGGCTAAAACTAAATAACTACACAGTGGGGAAAAATTGAAATCTAGATAAGTAATTATTTCTTAAAATAAGTGCATATGTTCTTGGATTGAGGAGGTAAAAGACGCATTTTTCCAGTGGAACAAGATGGTTTACATTTAAAATAAGAAAACACAATTGCATTGTCTTATTTCCAGTGTAAGTTATCTAATTATCTTATTTTAATAGTTAAAAATACTCATTCCATTGGCAAAATATCTAATTTACCTACTCAAATTAAGGGTAAATGCACTTGATTTAAGGAATTTTTACTTTTTTTCTAGATCATTTTTCCAGTGCATGTTCTTTCCAAGAGTTTTCCACACAGTAGCCAAACAATTAAGCACAATCCAACAAACTGTTGCATTATGGGACTTCAAGGGCTTACACTTACATCATGAAGAGGGAAGGCAGAGTCATATACGCCTTTGGCTATCAATGTGCTGATGCCTGGACAAGAGACAGAAAAGACATATTCAAAGAAAATTTTATCCAGATATTCTGACTATTGGTAGGTTTTTATTCCATGACTGCTGTTAGTCGAGTTTTCCAGATGCAGAGAATCTGGGACACAGAGAGACATCAGCCTACCTGACTCTCGCCTCTGGGAGATGTCCTGCGTAAATTAAAGTCTGGCCAACCTAATTTCTGCCTATTGGTAACAAATCCTATAATGTGAACCCAACCTACCAGAAAAACTCATAACTCTTCTAACTCTCACCTTTTCTCATGTTACAACCACAAACAATATCAGTTTTTGGGCAGTTTTATGGGATACACATAAACAAGGAAGTCAAAAATAAGGAGGAATGGTAAGTCATGATTTGTTCTACTGAGGCTTTAAAGCTGATCCGGCTTAACAAGAGGATAAATTAAACTAAATGATAGAATAGTGTTTGTATCTCATACCCTAAAACAGGCCAACAGAGAACCCATTGTTATAACTTCAGCTTAAAGCCTAACAGCAAGGTTTATTAATGGTTTAACTGTCTTGAATTTTTACAACAGAATTTTACTAAAAGCGCCACAGTGATTGTTTTATTCTAATTTGCATTTTGTTAGTTTGGAAACTATGTTTTCTTAAATGTTTTCACAAATATCCCTAGAATTTTATGTCTTCCGTGTCCGTATCCAGGACCCCGATCATCTACTGCTGTGGCTCCTCATGTGGAACCCCAAGGCGTTCTGTGTCCTGAGGAGAGTTATGGTCCCTTCAGCGGGTCCTGGTCCACCTTCCAAACAGATTCCCAAACCATGTCAATGGACTCCTCTTGATGTGACAGAGCATGGCTCTACTCCTACCTGCTTCTTGGTGGCTGACCTCTAAGGAAGGGCCCAGAGTCTATGGCCGTATCCAAGATTGTTTGACCATAGCTGAGAGTGGGAACATGGACTCCCCAGTAAATCAAGAGATTTTCTTTTGGGCTTAAGTCTCTTGGGCCCTCTTTGATGCCTTAATGTGGTATAGGAGTTTCAAGGCTATCTTGCTTGTCACCTAAATAATCCTGGTAAGGTGTTCCATGGCAAACAGGTTCAGAGAAATGTGTCAGACAAAGAGCGTCTCAAAAGTATTAATGAAGACAACAACATGGAGGCTGGTGATGTCAACCAGTTCGGCACAGCAGAGGCCTCAGCCTAGGACAAGGGTTGGGCTTCAGGTTTGTCTGTTTATTTCCAACTTTGCACTCTTTTTTTCCACTAGAATGTAGAACCATTGGTTTTCCTGATGACAGATTGTCCTTCCTGAGCTGTGGATCTTTGCAGCTCCTCCAGCGTTACCATGTGGCACTCCTTATCTCAACTTGATAACTGTGGTTTCCTTTTTCCTTCCACTTCACACATGTACAGCAGTAGCCATTTCAATTTTCCCCACTTTCCTTGACGGGCCCTTGGCTGATCCCCCACGATTCCTTTTTAAACATAAATCTTTGCAATAAAACCTTCTGTCATGATTTGTGGACATTAAGATCTAAAGAGAAGCGCCATGTCCTGGTCAGACCTTGTTATCAAGTGAAAGGGTGGAGTCTGAGTAAAAAAATATGCACGCCCAGGAGAAAGCCAGTGGCTAGAAGTTGGAGGGGATTTTGCTGGACGTCGCAGGGAAGTAGGCTGCCGTTCGGCTCGCATTTGACTGGGAAGGGCCATTTTGAATGGCTGCATTTCTAAGCACTCTGTTTATTATCATGCACAACCCCAATGAAATTTCTTAACGTTTGTGGTTGTAATGTGACATAAGTTGAAGTGCATTCAAGCAGTTCTAATACACTTGCAGGAAACTGAACAGGGGATTGGTTACCAAGCATTTACCACCTGTGTCTAACATCCAAATGCTCACTCACTCATCCAGAAACAACCCCAGCTCCCAGAGGCCAAGCTTCAATCTTTAGCTGACCTAGGAAATATGACCCACTTGTGGAAGAGATGGTGCAGAGCAACAGGATGTGTGTGTGAGTGAGTGTGTGTGCTTTGAATACCAGTGCTGCGCTTGGGATGAAGGGAATAGAGAAAAGGAAGGGTAAAGAGAGAAGAGTTCCATTTTCTCTACCATTCCTTCCCTGCAGCCCTGTCAGTACCCGCTGGCCAAGACCGTCTGCTGCGATGGGCCAGCCAACCAGACATATGGTGAACACTGGACATGAAATGGGTGTCAGCTCACTTCTACATAGGAACCATGGCTTTCACGATATCCAGAGGCTGTTGTGACATTTTTATTTTTTTTGCAAACAGATAAAAAGGGGGAATATTATGGGAATGCCAAAAACGTCACATTTTAAACAAATAATGCCCCAGAGCAGATTCTGCTGTCCAGAACATAGCCACATCCTCCTATCAGGGATATCCTGGAGAGACATTGTCGACAGCTTTCAATACCACAAGGCCCCCAATATGTCACATGAATGAGTTCATGCTCCTTCTCTGCACTCTCTCACTTTTTAGTTGCCTGCTGATTCTCTTCTACTACACCTGTTTCTGTGCTCATGTCAACTTTTGTCACTTTGAAGGTGGAACCACCCTCAGAAAGAAAAGTGCCTGTGACTGGCTACTTTTAAGGACATTCTACCACTTAAGACAGTACCGTTTCTCCCTAATCGCAGCTTAAAACATTAGCAAAGCATTCTTACTCATGTGTAAGACATTGTAAGCCTCATGGTATTTAACTTGCATGCATAAAACTTTCAAAACGTGGTTTATTTGCATGAGTTTTAAATAAAACTATGAGTACTCTTTACGTGCATGCACTTTAAGCAGATATCTGACTTTATATATAACTACCCATAATGCAAAGGGGTATCAGAGTTTGATCAAATTATTTTTAAGCTATGTTGATTTTCTGCCGATGTGCATACAGGACTAAGGTGACGGTACTGAGCAACAGTTCTGAAAGAAATGTTGAGGAATAGAGGTTTTATACTCCTTTTCTGGGCAAGGGTTCATCACTAAGCTAACCTATTAGTAACTAGTACGATGCAGAGATTCTTAAATTAAAGTCCCTTGCGATTCTTACATCCCTTCACGTCCTTTCATCACTACAAAAAAATAGACCTTGAGGTATTTTGTTAGGATTTGAAGCGACAAATAAAGAGCTGCAAATATTTTTTTAAGTGTTTGGAAAAGGAGAAACTTGCCTTTAGAAACATCGTGGGGGCAGCATCATGTTATGTGAATTCTTTTGTTTTACAGGAGTCAAAAAAAATTTTTGGTTTTATATCAATGTAGATCAGTTGTCTAGTCAAGGCCTCAAGGCTTTGTTAGAGAACACCATTAAATGTATCAAGGGCCGGTAGCCTGCAACTCTTAGAACTCTCCCCAGTCCAACACCATGGCTTAATTACCTTCTCAGTTGAAGTCAAGTACTCCAGAGTCCTGCAAAGGACCTAATTATTTGATACAGGGATGTTAAAGCAGAGACACATCTAAAGCGTGCAGGACCCTGGGCCTTGAGTCTGGATTTTCACATTCCTGACCAAAACAGACAGCCCAGACACAGAAAGTGTTTATTAGAGAAGCTTCCATTTGGTAGAATCAGTCCTCAGGAAAACTACTATTTCTGTACCAGCCAAATAGAAAATCATTGTACAAGTTTACGGACGAGTAGCAGAAAGCTATAATTGCAATTTAGCATTGGTTTTAAAACCACAAAATCACTTGTCAGAAGTTGTGATCAGTTGTAAGCAGGTGGAGCATCATGACCCCTCCTCCTTGCACATCCCTGTATAGCCTCTAGCTCTACAGGCTATATGATGGCTGAAGGGGGCACGTGCCCCAAAGTTTTCCCCTTGCCTTTGGTGCTTTCAGACAAGATGTCACATTTACTTATTTTTTATTTATTTAAACAGGGACAGTCTACATCATACATTAACCTTAGAAAGGATAATCAATTGTACCCTGTTATAGCATATGTGTTAATATACACCTCTAGTTCCTGAGCATGCTGATGTTTGACCCACTGCTAATGGCTAAATACAAGGTAAAGTTTAATTCAATCTGGAACTGAACTACAGTAACAACCATTCAAAATCCCCCTTCCAAATCAAATGGTAGCCAAATGGCAGCCTCTTCCCCTGCAAATCCCAGCTAAATCCCATCCAACTTCCAGCCATTGGCCTTCTCCTTGGCGTGCATTTTTTTTAAACTCTGACTCCACCCTTTCACTGAATTACAGGGTCTTACCAGGAGATAAGGCTTCTCTTAAGATCTTACTGTCCACAAATCCTGCAGAAAGAATATTTTAGTACAAAGATTGATGTTTAAAAAGGAATTGTAGGGAACCAGCCAAAGACCTGTGATAATAGGAAGCTGAGACAAAGGCATTTCTTGCAAGAGAAAAGTTTTTTTTAACGTCCTCAGAAAGAGAGATAGGGCTCTGACTGAGGCAACCTCAGTACATACATTTATACCTTACAACATCCCAACACAAACCCAGAGAAACCAACCCAACCCCTGCATAAAGACCTTTCTCACACTTGAACATTTGGAGGAAAAACACCTTGAGTCATCAAGGCCGTTCCCTGTTAGGTTAATATATCTTTCACAGGCCAGATGGATCTCCTCAAAACAACAGTCCGCCCCTTCATGCCATAAAAGAGGCTGTGTGAACTAATTCTTATCTCTCATGACCTTTGACTTTGGAGCCTGTGAGGCTAAGAACAGACATATCTCAACGTTTTTTACTCCACAGACCCTTCAAGGAAAGTGGGGAAATTTTAAATCGCTACTACTGTAGCAAACTTTAGCTTTAGGCATTAGTGAAAAACACCCTATTACTGAAGCAGACAGCTTGGAGATTGTGCCAGAAACAAGCAACAAGAAGTTTTTCTTTTCCCATTTCTAATAAAACTGTTGGGTTACAATAGTACCTTTTAATACCAGACGAAAAGATTATTTGTTATGTTGATTAAACACCACCTAGCCTCCTTACCTATGGTTTGACAGGTCCGTACGCACACCGTCCGTCTCAAGATCTCATAGACCTTAAAAATATTTAAAACCGTCAGTCTGGGGAAAGAAATGGAAGCTAAAAAACACATGATGATCATAGAAGGGTATAAAGAGACACACTTACTATTCTTCCTCTGGTAGCGTTATCAAAGAAAGTGTCTTTTGACGTGATGTTGTACCTAAGACGAACAGAAAAAGCCTTTAGATTTTTATGGATGTGTTTCTTTGTATTTAAATAATGGGAATCAAGCGCTGAGAGTTTATGTAGGTGGATCGAATGTACTGCGCCAACCATTTTCATTTCACAACTACAAGGGAGAAAAAAAAACACACAAGCTGTCAAACAAATGCCCCTGTGTCTTAAAGTCCACGGTTAGAGCGTGCTTCAAACATTTTCTTTGTGCCTTTTCAAACACATTTTGACAAGCTGAAATCAGGGGGGGGGAATCCAAAAGAAAAAAAAAGGTGAAGATGCACATTTTAAAATGGAGGGAATCTTGTCAAGTAATTCATTAGTCAATACACGTTAACAAAAGCAATTATACCACAAAAGGATCTGTGAATCATTACAGTTTGACAGGGAGGATGGGAATGATTTTACTTGCCAGGAGCTTAAATGTCTCAAAGATCTTAGTTCCAATCTCGGCCTCGGTCCTTTCTGCATAGGTTAATTAGTCCTCTATATTACTTGTCTGAGGAGTACCCTGTGTGCCACCCAATTATTCCCTATGCGACCCTGCAGGAATCAAGAGCTTTAAGAGTTTGGTTTAGGGATGGACAAAGATCAGCATTACTGTCCTGTTGGCATAAGCAGATGCTGCCACAACCAGAATTTAGAATTTGTACAGTAATATTAGTTCTAAGTCTCAACTTTTGTCTTTCTGTCCCATAAATCTTTACTCCAATGACTTTTTAAATTGTTTATGGCCATATGGAGATTTCAGTCAAGCGTCAGAGGCTTTGGATCATTGCCATTATTATGATAGCCTTTAGGTTGTTCCTAAATGAACGGACAACTTTCATTTCTATCTGAGGCCAAATGAGAAAAACTTGGATCCATCTGGGTATTCCTGATTTAAATAGAGGTGAACAATATGCAAAGAAACCAGTTCCAGAACATGGTAATATAGGGTAGCATTAAAGTACAAGAACAGTTTTCCAACAGGCTTTACCTCTAATATGTATTATACGTAAAACAATGTGGAGAAGGTTGATGTACGCCAAGAAACAACAGGAATGAACTGAGCTCTACCACTTTCCTATAGATAAGTGGTCCAATATCCAGCCAGGCATAAATTACATATGCTTGGGCTGCAGCTAACGAAGCCAAATGTTGGCGGGAGGCTTCATGTGTACTTGATCTGGTTTCATTTTCAGGATGTCGTTAAGTAAGAAATCCACAACCAATTCAAATCTATGCACCTAATTCTTGTGTTTTTTTTTTATTATTCACTGATGCTAATTATTGAATACACATTAAAAAAAGCCAAAAATTTCTTATTAAAAGCTAATAACCTATACCAATAGGCCGATGATGATACCATTTACAGCATTTGGACCTTCGGTGTGACTGCTGACATTTGAGTAAAATGTGTAATTCCTTTCTTTTCACATAGTGAAGAAATTCCCTCTCTGCATTTTACCCGTCCCCTTTGGGATGGGCAATGTTGGCACCCAGAGGAGCAGCCTGTGGGAGTCTGTGGGACTTGAACGCAGAATCTCTAGGACCCAAGAGAAATCCTCTAACCACCAGGCCACCAATCCCCTCTTTGGGGGTGTCTTATTCAAAGGAAATATTGCTTAAAATAAACAAAACTAATAAAACTAACAATGAAAAGTTAGACACATCTTGATTTAAACAGGAGAGAAACATTATTCTAACTTCATAAGTCAGAATGAAAATGTGTAGCACTCAGGGTTAGTCCTATAGATTATCAATCAAGGACTGGTCTCATTAAAACAAAGTAGGGATATCCATCTGAACCATCTGAGCTGATTGGGTGAGAGGACACCTAGAGCCCGCCTACCAAAGTTTCCTTTTAACCGATCACAGTAGCATATGAAATAGCAGAAGATGCCATTAGAAACCACAACAGGTTACACTTTTATGCTCTTCTTGTTCGCTTTTCAGAAATTAAACAATTGATTCTGACGAAACAGGATGATTCAATTTCAATTTAATTCAATTTATCTTTATTGTCATTGTCACAAGAACAACGAAATTTTAAAAAATTTCCATCGATCAGTGCATATGCTTAAAAAACAAAAACAAAAATCACTGTCACCACCATTTACACATAATATAAGAAATAAATAACAATAACTGATACAAAACAACTAATAAGAATAGTAAATTCTCACACACATCATCCATGATGATTAATGGTTATTTTTGGTTGCATTTAGTTTTGTTAGCAGCTACGCACACATCCTCCTACCCTTCCATGGTTAATCAGGTTTGGCTCTGTGCTCGGCAGCTCTTGTTTTCGTCACAGATATATGTCCCACATTACACCATAATACTGGAACATGATTTCCTAAATAGTTAAAGTGGAAGTGCTACAAGATGGCCTCTATGTTGTTTATTAACAGGCAAATGCCACAAGAACTAAGCCTGCAGGGAATATTTATTAATAAATATAAGAACATTTATCAATGAATATCAACTTGAGGGAGCAGCAATTCCAAAATTCATGTGATTTAAAGGCCTGGCTAATGAATTAGTGGACTCAGCTACCAAGCATCAGGGCAATGCCAATTAAAAAACAACTTGGACAAAAACTGTGTCCAAATTATTCTCAATGTATCGTCTACCTGTAGAACGCATGCATAATGTGGCTTAATAACTACATTTGAACAGAGGATGGGTTTTACTAGGGGAGACATGTTCCTTTCAACCTGAGCCTTAAATACTCAACATCTTAAATACTTCATTTGAACAGGTGTCCAGGTTCGTGCTCTTGTTACTTGTAATGTGGCTCACTTCATTACCTCTAACCCAGATCTTTGGGTGCTCAGGCTTCCTCACAACGGTTAGAAGAAAAAATAATTAATTAATGATTTTCAGTACAGCTGTAAGTTAGGCAAACCTATTTTAGTTAAGGCTGTAAGTCACTGGCTTTATCATGAGACAATATGTATAGATTGGTTTGGATGACAATACAGTATGTGCAACCAATATGATGCAATACCATATAGCAATTGGGTTAATTGGATGGATGGATGGATGGATGGATGGATGGATGGATGGATGGATGGATGGATGGATGGATGGATGGATGGATGGATGGATGGATGGATGGATGGATGGATGGATGGATGGATGGATGGATGGATGGATGGATGGTTTGTCTTACATGTGAAGTTTGTCTCTGGAGAAGCAGTGTGACAGAAACTTGGTGCTTCCCTGGTCCTGCTGAGGTACTTTGGGCTGAAAGGGCTGCTTTACTTTCCTCCACACTGAGCTCATGCTGGACCCAAACCCACTTTCCTCTTTGAGTTCATAGCTCTGAGGAAACCAAGAAGATGTAGTGATTACTCAACCTTTGACAGTAACAGACACATTTATTAAAAAGATTTATATACAAATATATATTACCATTTACATTACAAATATGTATGTTGGTTCTTGTCTGTTTGGATTTTATACTCAGACTCTAATAAGAAGATCTAACCACATGCAAAGTCTATAAAGAGCTTTGAATGGTCCAGCGATTCCAGCATTGGGAGAAGCGCGCTTTGAATAATTATGTGCAGTTGGACTCTGAGTGTCTACCAGTTACAGAAGCTGATCCAGAAGCTGTCTGGGAGACCCGAGCCGGGATCTCTGCTGCTGTGGTGCTGTCAGCATACGACTATTAAAAATGACTTATTTTGATCATTATTACTTATTAGGGAATAATTATTATAACTGTGCTGAACGAGTTTAATACCTGCTGGGGAAAAATATTCGACTTTATATTCTGATAGTTGCAGTTTTTACCAAAAACCCCAAAAAATATTTTATAATTTTATGCAATTGCATATCTTGACCCGCCAGGACTGGAGCGGAGCAACAAATTGCTCAGCTCCGTATTTTGACGGTGACGGACGGAGAAGACGTACATGTATAGTGACGTGCGGAGGTGTAGCGGGGGAGTGGAACAGTTCTCAGTGATAAACATGACAGACAAGTACTCCGCACGATGTATGTGAGCGGAGCAAAGCGCTGATGGAGTATGTGGAATCTGAGGGTTACACACTTTCTCCAAAATAATTAATTAATTTAGCTCCCTGCAACTGTTTGCAGCTCCCCCTTTAATGCTCAACGTTCTCTTAACCTACAGAAGGCATAAAGAGCATTGGCTGGTGGTGGTAAGCCTTCTTTTATTTTTTATCTTCATGCTTAGCTTATTTTCTGCTTTTCTTCACACCTGCAGTCTCTCAGTCCATCAATGCAACTCATCCAGCCCACAATCTCTCAACCAGCTCTCATCATTATCATCATCTTCCATTTTCAGTCGTGCATCCTCATGTGTGAAATAAACACTTTCCCGTTTTGTCTTGATCAGTCTCTCTCTATTTATCCTGTCCCACCGTGCTGTCTTTCTCCATTTGCCCGTCCTTAACTGCGCTGCTCTGCCTCTCCTCTAATTTCTGTCATTTTGCTCCCTGGCTTGGGGATCTAGCCTCCTAGCTCGGCCCTGGCATCTTTCTAGGGGGGAACTTAACTCTAATTCTTTTCCTAGGTTACTCATTCAAGCAAAAATTGATTCACAGCATCAAAGTCTTCTGTCGGGTTCTAATCGCCAAAAAATTATTTCCTTTATGTCAATAATTTTTTCGGTCTCCTTGAACCCCAGTCAGCCTCGCAGATGGCCGCTCACACTGAGCCTGGTTCTGCTGGAGGTTTCTTCCTGTTAAAAGGGAGTTTTCCTCTCCACTGTCGCTACAAACATGCTTAGTGTGAGAATTACTGTTGAGTGAAAGAATTGATGCAATCAACTGGTTTTCCTTAGATAGAAACCTTTTGACCAATCTGTCTGTTACCCGTACAAATACTTTCAAATGATTTAAACTTTTTAGTCAAAGCTTTTCATCTGTGAAATAATCAAATTTTAAAAATTAAAAACATAAAACACAAGATAAAAATAAATGATTTAAAAATAGATTAATCTATCATAATCGAGGGGGCTGTCCTGACTGGGTTTGATAGTGACCGTAAAAGAAAGAAGAGGTTCTAAGCCATGCAGTTAGAGGCGGCGCTAGAGAGATGGCAAAGGGGGCACTAGATCCTTCCCCCCTACGCAGTGGTAACAATTTGTCCATCCCGGCCGTTCTGTGTTCCCCACTCTCACTCTCCACATCTAACCCTACTTTAAACCCAGTAGTGAAACACTCGCTGAAAATATGGGGCCAGTTCAGGAAATACTTTAAACTCCACAATTTCTCCTTCTTAAGCACTTAACCATTTTTTTAAACCATCTGTTCAGAATGGGGTGTTTCTACAGTGGCAGCAGAGGGGACTTACTTACTTTAAGGACTGTTTCATTGGGAAAAAATTGGCATCCTTTGAGGAACTTAGCAAAAAATGTGGTTTACCTAAATCCCATTTCTTTAGATATTTACAAACCAGAAACTTTATTCAGTCTCACTTCTCAGGCTCAATCTCTCTGCCAGAGCATACGCTGTTGGAAACCATCCTATCATTGAACCCAACTTCTAAAGGGCTGGTTTCATGGCTTTATAACAAAATGTTCACTATGAAAGAGACCTCCACACTTAAACTTAAAGCCTCATGGGAAGAGGACTTGAATGTGACCATAGTAGATCAGACATGGGACTCTATACTAAAACTGGTGAATACCTCATCTCTATGTGCGCGCCATTGCCTCATTCAGTTTAAAGTAGCACATAGAGCCCACCTCTCCAAATATAAACTATCCCGTTTCTATCCAGGAGTCACCCCTTACTGCGATAAATGCAAAACTGCTGTGGCCACACTGGTCCATATTTACTGGTACTGCCCCGCTCTTGGTCATTTCTGGACAGATGTTTTTCATACAATGTCCGGGTTGGCGGGAGTGGTGATAACACCTGGCCCTCTTCTGGCTCTGTTTGGTTTTAGTGGTGAGGGGTCACCTTTACCGGCCTCTAGGCAGCAGGCGCTGGCATTCTGCTCACTGTTAGCGAGGCGCACAGTTCTAACCAGGTGGAAGGGTGCGGCTCCTCCAACTCACAAACAGTGGTTATGTGACCTCATGTCATGTCTGCGCATATGCAGCCGGGGACTTTTTCTAATCCTGAAGGCTTCAGAAAGCTACTCTAAACTTACCTGCTTGGTCGGGACTTTAATCTTCAGAAACTCAGCCTCTCTACACAAAACAGGCCAAGGTGCGTGGATCCGAGTAAAGCTGGGCCCGTGGGTCTTTGTCTGCCAAACAAAACAGAAACAAAAATAAGATCGGGCTTCAGCTTTGAAATGTCGGTGAAAAAGTCAAGGAAAGTAAAAAAGAAAACAGTCCCCAGACTCAGAACTGATTCCTCACAAATGTGTGTGTGCATGTACTTTTCTGTTCTGTGAAACATAATACCAGCCTGCTTGGCTGAAATCAAGTGCTGCTCAAAAATGGCTTAACGGACCATCTGTCAAAGCAGCTCCGCCATCCAAAACAGAAGACTTTGTTTTAGCAAGAGGCCTGAATACAAGCAGCCATTCACTTACAGTAAGTCCTGCCTTCTCAAAGCTTACAGTTAACCTCTGAAAGTTTGACCTTATTTACAACTTTAAGCCAAAATCTCCTAAAACATTGCTAAATATCATGGTAATGTCTTACCTGCAGGAGGTAACTCTCTCCACATACGTATTCAGGTTAGTTAGTTAGTCTAAAAATCGGACTGATGGAAAATTTAAGAAAGAACCAATAGTGAAGTTGACCTTTACAACCTGATAGCGTCAGTCTAAAATGCACCATCTTTTCTTAAACTGCTGTAGGTGTTGCCTCCGGCAGCTTGTATTACAATTATCATTTACACAGGAAATGAAATTAGGAGGTGGTGCAACAGATTTTTGTCGGGATTGTGACTCTGATAGCTGACCTAATTAGTCATTTCGCTCACCTGCCTAACTCTGCCAGGTTACCAATTATCACTCATCTTATCCACCTGCTCCTGCTGCTTTATATATGGCTCATTCACAGCTGTCAGGGCCAGATCATTGTTTTTGTCTTTGAGTTTTAGTTCAAGATTATTGCTGTTGCCATATATCATGTTCTCGTTCTCGGAGGCCAGTGGTGAGAGAGGTTTTTAGTATTGTCATAGTGTTCCTGATCATGTCCTGTCTCTTATCCACTCAGCATTCCCTGTTCTTGTTTTTGGCTCAGTGGAGGGAGATAGTTTTAATGTATCGTAATTCTCCTAATATCATGCCTTGCTCTGCCTCTCAACTACTGGGCTTGCCTGTTTCCATCTGAACGTTCTGCCTCAACTCTGTGTTGGACTCTTGGAACCCTGAACTTGCCTGAACAATTTGTGGATTCCTGGAACCCTGGACCAGCCTGTTCAAGTTCTGAACCTCTGACCGGGCAACGGACTCCTGGATCTCTGAGCCTTTCCGTGTCTGATCTGTTTCCCTGACCTGACTCGGATTCCTGCTTGTTCCATGGGGCTGCAGCATCTGGTTCACTCTGTGCGGCGTCCGCCGCATCTCGTTGGCATTCCATCGGCTGGATTGTACCCCACTCTAAAGACTGATTTATACTTCGAAATTAGGTCATCTGCGGAGGTGTCGTGGTGAACACAGAGACGTCCCCGCCCCCTCCTCAGACACTGTGCTGCACCGGTCCCAAATTGTAGGCGACAGCAGACAGTGCCGCAGACAGGAGGCCTCTGATTGGTCAAATCTACAATCTACATCCGCTCTACACTATGTGTATCTGCTGTTTGGTACCTTACCGGTTCATTTTGTTTGCATTATACATTGAATATTTAAATTAAAAAAATATTTTTAAAATAGAAAATTTTTCCGTTTGGTTTTGGAATTAGAGAACAACGATCATTCAGTTTGGTATACAGATCATTTGCAGATTCACATATTTTATAAAAAACCTGAACTGACCGTTTGTTATTCATTTTTCTTTTTTCTGGCTTAATGTTCGCAGTGGGCTTTATGCTGCCCTGCAATGATTTAAACCTGGGTTTGAATGGAGACTAAGCCATTCTAAAGCACATATCAAGGTGCTCATTTTGAGCCTGGATCCATATTTATTTTTGATTCTGTTCATGGTGGAGAATCCTGCTTCACAGCAGCAGGTTGAGTCAAACATCCTCTAAATGTTCAGGGTCATCTTTGAGCACCATTTCACTTTTCTCTCACCAGTTCGCCGCAGTTCTTCTAGCAGTCCACTCTTTCTCTGCTCTCTTTTTCTCATCATCTTCTCCTTTCCCATCACCCGGCTTGCCACAGGTTTTCCTGCTGTGTCTAACAGATGCAGCAGCAGCAACCCAGACTGACAGCAGCTCACTGGCTAAGTTGTATCATGCAGAAGGCTTTACCATATTAGCAGGAAAAGCGGTGCAAGTTAAGTTAGACACTGCCGTTGGACAACATGCGGTAATTTATAAATGTTTTATATCAGGTTGGGTCCAGATTAGCCCTAGTCCACTAATCCGTGACCTCTGCACTAAACCTTAACTATCAAGTGTCCCTTCCAGTGAAGTCTCACTCACAGCAATGGAAGGTGCCTTGACATTCTTTTTTAGTTATGCATCACAATGATGTCTCGACCCCTCAGGAGGTTCCGCCCCCACTTTGTAAACACTTGTTCTCCAACATCAGGAAAAACTGAAAAAAAAACACTAAAAAGTCTTTTGGAATTGGAAAAAATATATATATATTTTTTAAATAGTTTTAATATTTGACCCACACATGTGAAAACTGGAAGCATCTCCACTTTAAAGATGTCCATTTCTAAAGGATGATGAAAGGAGAGCTTTGACACTGAGCTGTAGCGTTCAGCCTAGTCTACGTTAGGACATGTCCGTGTCTCGACCCTATACCACACTTTGGCAAACCGATCCACTTCTTCTCTGCTGTTGATGAAAGATAGATGCGACCAAAGCTGACAAAAAGCCTGAAGCTGTTATGATTTAGCTACTTCTCCTGCTAATGAATCACAGTGTGGCCCACACAGTCATTATATTAAGATGCATTAACAAAAAGCTAACAATTATCTGCTCAAAGGAGCATCAGCTTTTTCTTCTAAAACACGCTACAGCTTTATTGCTGTTGGTCTGAACGTCAGTGGAGCCGACAGAAAACGGCGTCCAGGTAACCTTAGCCTCCTCAGACCCCCTTCAGCTTCTGGAAAAGGGACGAGTGATCAGAGAAAGGTAGCAGGGCCAACAATGGAAACCTAAAACCAATCCCTTTCTCCTCTTAGGACTCCTTCTGTACCGAGATCCCCCCCCCCACCACCACCATACTGCACTCTCTGCTTCTTTGATGACTGACTGACAGCTCGTCTCTCTAACCTTTCCTTAACATCTCTCTCACTTACATCCATGCATTCTTTTGTCTCACATGGGACCTATGGAGTGAATTTTGTTTCATTATTTTTGCAAGTAAAGAACATATGTTATAAATATGTTAGAAGGACGTAAAAAAAATAAGAAGTGTAAAAATGACAATATAAAAAACTAAAATAAATGGTTTGTAAATTGTTGTTTAAAATAATGACCAAGGTCATTTTCAGTTCTTTCAGCAGATACAAAAAAATATTCAGAATCTTGACTTAGGGCGTTATTAAAGCAGGGGTGGAAATGCATCATTTACTCAATTAGTGATTTTATCTATTTTACAAGCAGTAAACAGCATCATGAGGAGGTAAGTTAGGCAAAAATAGACTTTTAGGAGGAAAAAATGCCTTAGGCCATTATTTTAAGAAGGTGATGAAATCAGAATAAAACAAACACACATTTTTGTAAATGGAAATAAAAAAGAAAACATGTGTCGTAAATAAGAATTTGAACAACAACACATTTAATAAAAGGAAATACGTGTTGTAAACAGAAATTTGAATGTATATTTTTTCATAAATTTTTTTCCCAATTTCAATTTTTAGAAAATATCTCCTTTCAGGTTTAGCTTTACTAATTACATTCTTTTTTATATTGCATATTACAGATTCTTTTTACTTTGGGGGCAAGCTTTCCTCTGGAGTGAGGAGGAAAGATGATTTTCTATTGGTGTGCACGGATGCTAGCAACTGCATGTTTACAGGTCGAGCGAGTGAAAAGAGTGATCTGTGAAACTCAATTTGTAAAAGAAAAATTTAAAAACTAAAAATATGAAAATGCAATTTGTAAAAACAAATGTAAAAGAATATTGTCTTAAAACCTAAAAATACAAAAAAAAAATCCATATGAAAAAAAGAAATTTGAAAAATTTAAAATTTTGAAAACTAAAAATCTAAAAATCAGCAAAACATGTTCTTTGTTTACAACAAAAGGGAACACAATTCACTCCATAGAGACCAAGTGCATTTAGCTCTCTCTCTCTTCTAGGAATATTCACTTGCTTCTTTGCATCTAAGCCCTAAATTACAGAAGAAAGAAAGCAGAATAAAAGAAACTGTTGCTTTGTGAATCCCAGAAGTGTGCTATTTGTGTTCATGCTAACACTTTGCTATTTTCAGAGCATCATACTGTGCTCTAACCAAATCTGTAACCACTAGCAACTGGGTTCTTTTTTCTGTTCAAGCTAAGACTAAGAAGGTGCATTTTCTGCATGTGTCTGCTTTTCACCATCATTGAACAAAATATAACCGGTCTTAATGCCGTGACAGTTTGCAAAGAGGTAGGTGATGACCAAGGAAATCAAATTATTAGTTTTAAAATGAAATCTGATGTCCTTTTCCTTTATATATGGAGTAGCTAGAGCAGTAACTGATCATTATGATTTCTTGCTTCGCAAAGCAAACACAATTCCTTAAAAAAATTCCACTCTAAGTAAAATTGCAACCAAGCCGCTTTGTCTCCAGCTAAAGGGTTTCTTGCTAGCACTACTGGCAGTTTGATAGTGACCGTAAAAGAAAGAAGAGGTTCTAAGCCATGCAGTTAGAGGCGGCGCTAGAGAGATGGCAAAGGGAGCACTAGATCCTTCCCCCCAGAAATCTGAACCACCACCCCACCACTACTAAAAAAATAAAATCCGATATTAAATAATAAATATTACTTACATAAAAGTAAAACTGACTAAAGCAAAATGTGTTTTGAAAAAAAAATTATTTATTACTTTTTTGTATGCAGTTTTCAAAAAAGAAAATATAATATATTGGCATTAAACTTTTAATCAACAGTTCACAGTTGCAATAAATAAGAAGATAAATTAAAGCATTTTTTTCTTTATTATGCCTCACTGTTTTCAAACTATTC